TCTGCACAACAACAACAGCCAATGTACCTCTCCTCCCCCCCCCCCCCCCATATACTCACATATAAGGACCGTGCGGTGCGATGGGGGCAGTGGGATACCGAATGCTTTCCACTAAAAACCGAAGAACGGTTATAAATTGCTTGTTGATTGACATTATAATTAGCCATAGGGGGTGCTGGACTGGACTTGGCGGTGGGGGGGGGGGTTGTGGGGGTAAGTTTAGGTACAGTGGGGTGTGGGGGTCTGGTCTGCTCGGGTAGACAACAAAAATGCGGGGGGGGCATGTGTGTTTCCTACCCCTTTTCCCCCCCCCCCCCCCCCCCCCCAAACGAAGCGGCTGTCAAAGCTTCCTGTGGAGATCTCCAATCGCGTGCTGCGTGTGCGATTTTGATCCATCGATCTATTTTCTTCTTCGTCGCCTCTATTACTTTTTTCTCTCCTTTTTCCATTGGGTTATTTTTAATCTTCGCGTGACTCTCGGTAGGTGGACTCTCCCAAGATTCATAGATAGCTATTCCGTTTTTTAGTACCGTGCTAGTACTGCTACGCTACTGTACCCGCCTTGCAATCCCTCCTCCTCCTCCTCGTCCGTCCTCGTTCTTTTTTCTTCTCTTCCCTGATCTTATTAAATAAATACCTGTTCATACCCCTCCCCCTCCCTTATACTCTCTCTCTCTCTCTCTTTTTTCTTTCTTTTTTTTGTTTTTTCTTTCCTTCTCTTTGTGTGTTGTGTACCTGGATCTCTCGCGTGTTGTTGCTTGGATAACACAATCTCATCGCTGGCCCCTCTTGAGATTAACTGCGCTTCGTTGCTGCAGCTGGATTAATTACTCTCGTCGCCCAAGTCCCATTCTCTTCTTCTTCTTGCTCTTGTTCTTCTTATTCTGTCCTGCTCCTCACATCCCTGTCGCATTCACATCCACTCCTTTTTCTATTTATCATTGAATCGCGTGATTGAAATTGGGAACCTCTCCCCCATCTCCTGGGATTGCAGGCATCGATCGAAAAAAAAGAAGAAAAAAAAAGACATCAAGGTGTTTATTAACTTCCCGTGCTTACTTCCCCCTTGCCTTGCCTTGCGCGAATATTTATTGCTTTTACATTCAATTCGGTTATTTACTTGGCCCCTTCCAATCGTTTTTGGCGCGAGTTTGCCCTTCCCATCCGCGCCCCTCTCTCTTGGTTGGTTGTACGCAAAAGGGGCCGATCTATACTTTTCCTGTTCTCTCTTACTCTCTTCTACTTGCTTGCTTGTTTCTTTTGTTTTCTTTCTTTTCCTCATTTTTAAAAAAAAAGTGGGAACGTGGGAAGTAGTCAAGTCTATTACTAACAGTCGTCGATTACAGATTCTGCAGAGGGTTATTTATTATACCCTAATATAAAATCCCCCTCTGACACTTTAATTTTTTGTCGTTGCTCCGCTTCGACATATTCTCGCAACAATGTCTTCTCACGGTGAGAAGAACTCGGACCCGAATATCGAGAAGCCGGTCGACGAGGAAGCCATTCACGAGCAATCGCGTGCCGTCTCCGGGAAGCCATGGATGTACAAGCGCCCAAAAATCGGATCCTTCAAGTTCCCTTACTATGCGTCCCCTACTTCTCAGCTGCTCCTGGTCTCCTTTGTCTGCTTCTTGTGCCCGGGTATGTTTAACGCCCTGAACGGTCTGGGTGGAGGTGGTCAGCAAGATCCCCACGCCGTCAACATCGGAAACACCGCTCTCTACAGTACTTTCGCCGTCATCGGTTTCACTGCCGGTTCCATTGCCAATCGTGTTGGTCTCCGCTGGACTCTTCTCTTCGGTGGCTTTGGTTACTTCCTCTATGTCGGATCTATGTTGTCGTACAACCACAACAGGAACCTGGGCTTCCTTACCTTTGCCGGTGCCCTCTTGGGTGCTTGTGCTGGTTGTCTGTGGTGCGCCCAGGGTGCTGTCATGATGAGTTATCCCGATGAGAAATCCAAGGGTAAATTCATTTCTTGGTTCTGGATCATTTTCAACTTGGGTGGTGTCATTGGAGGCTTGGTAGGTTTTTGTGTTATTTTCTTTCTATGATACGCTGAAGGGTCTTGTTTTTTCCCCTTTCAGGGAAGAACGGACTATGTATTTTTTCGAGTTTGAGCTAATTCTGGTAATGCACAGGTCCCCCTGGCCCAAACCATGAATGCCCCAGAAGGCAGAGCCGTCGGCGACGGAACCTACATCGCCTTCATGATTCTTATGTTCATCGGTTTCGTTCTTTGCTTCTTCCTGGTCGAATCCAAATACGTCCGCCGTGAGGACGGTTCGCAGGTCATTGTCATGAAGAACCCGTCCTGGTGGTCCGAAATCAAGGGTCTTGGCGAAGTCCTCGTATCCGACTGGTACATTGTCGCTCTCTTCCCTATGTTCATCGCCAGTAACTGGTTCTACGCCTACCACTTCAACAACGTCAACGGCGCCAAGTTCAATATCCGTACCCGTGCCCTGAACAGCTGCCTCTACTACCTTGCCCAGATGTTTGGTGCCTTTGCTTTTGGCTACATGTTGGATACGCCATCCCTGCGCCGCACTACTCGTGCTCGTCTCGGCCTGGTTGTCCTTTTCATTTTCACCATGGCCGTCTGGGGTGGTGGTTATGCCTGGCAACGCGAGTATACTCGTGCTGATACCGGCCTTGAAGATTTCCGCATCATTGATTTCAAGGACTCCGACTATGTTGGTGGAATGTTCATGTACATCCTCTATGGTGTTTACGATGCTGCCTACCAGACCTGCGTGTACTGGTGAGTTTTATTCCTTTCTTTCTTCTTTCTTTTGGCGTTATCTGCCCCCGTATTTGGTTTTTCTTTTCCCTGGCAATTGGGAATGAGAGAAAATGGAACGAGGATCAAAACAACGAGGTGAAACCAGTTGCTGATGTTTAATTTGTTCGAAATTTTCTAGGTTCATGGGTGCCCTTAGCAACAACAGCCGTAAACTTGCGAACTTCGCTGGTTTCTACAAGGGTCTCCAATCCGCCGGTGGTGCCGCTACCTGGCAGTAAGTTTCCAACCCGATCCAATAAAAGACTACTCACAGTGTCTTCTTCGTTCCCCCAAACACCCAACACAAAACCGAACTAACCTCCCCTTCCCTTTTCAACAGAATCGACGACAACAAGGTCGAATTCATGACCATCTTCGCTATCAACTGGGGTCTTCTCTGCGGCAGTATTATCGTCGCCCTGCCCGTCATCCTGTACAAGATCAAAGACACCGTGGACCTCGAAGAGGATCTCAAGTTCTCCGACGAGACATTGGAGGAAGTCGCGCCAACTGCCTTGTTGGAGAACCGGGGCATGTCGACTGGGGCTGATGTTAAATAAATACTCTTTTTTTCACAACCATACCATGTCAAGAATGTGCGGCAAGGCGGGATGTGGTGTGAAGTGGAAAGCAAAGGGACTAGGATCCAGAGTCTTCCTTTGGATTTGACTCGTGTAATAAGGATGGGTGTTTGATTGATGGGTGGTGGGTGAGGGTTATGGGGGTTGGGGAACATGCAGAGCTGCACAGTGATCCACAATTGCAATGCAAGCCTGTGTGTGAACCAATCCTCCCTTCCCTCCTCTGGCCAATCCATCATTTCCAAACAGGGGCTGTCTGAGTAGTTGTTGGTGGCGGGAATTTGGGATAGTGATAGGACGGACTTCTTACTTCTTACATCTTACTTCTTCTTTCTTCTTTTTTTTTTTAATGAAATACCAAACTGACTTGAAATCACAGAAGTGTGTTTAAACTCAATCAACTCACTCTTTCTTTCTCTCTCAGACCTTCGTTCTTTTTTAATTCTTTTTTAAGTCTCTTCCTCCCTTTTCTTTTTGGTGTCTTGTTTGTGACTTTCCTTTGTATTTAAAACATATTCTCATCAAATCAAATCAAACCAGGAATATCAGTATATAAACAAGACAGACAGATCTCTTCTCAACTTTTTTTTTTTTTTTTTTTTTTTTTTTTCTCTCTTAAATATATGTATAAATTTCTTGTCTGCTTTTCTGATATCTTTTCTTCTATTCTATACGGAGTACTCCGTACCTCTAGTCAAATTGGCAGTCTCATGTAGAAGATTGTTATGTATTGTATTTTTTTTTTTTTTTTTTTTTTTTTTTTGGACATGGCTTGACTTATTTCTTTAATCAGGCTTTTTGCATGCTACTCTGGTGTTTGTTTGTGTTTTTAATGTAGCCCCTCCCCCCCCAAGTGCACATATTTTGCTTGCATATAAGATATATATATATGCAGCTAGCTGTCTTATCATCAAAATTCAAAAAGTCCAACCTTGAACCTTCATGGAATGGGTACCTAGGTTAGTTGCTGTAATAATTAATAATAAAATAAATCAACCTACACAATAATGAGAAAAACTGGCCGCTAACACAATCCCCGCCTCCGCCTCCGCCTCCGCCTCCGCCTCCGCCCCGCCCCGCCCCGTCCATCTCTAAGTGATGACCTGACCCCGCCGCCGGCCACCATAATCATTTATTTATCCCCCGGGCCACTCCCTCTTACACCAACAACCCCACAACAACAGCAATAACAACAACATGACTCCATACAACCCCAAAACTTTCCGCCGCGAGCGCATTTGCAGAACTGCTCACCTGCCCACCTCCATCCTTGGACGGCGGTGTATATTGTAGGTGCGTGGACTTCTCGCTGCCGGCTGTGCTGTATGTGGCGTCGATGCGCACCTGGCCTGTTGAGAGGTCCGTGCCGGTTAAGCTGCGGTTGAAGAGGTGGAGGGAGGCGAGGGGTTGGTAGTCTGGTTTGCCGGTTAGGGTTTTTTCTTTTTTCATTTTTTCTTTTGTGCACGGCGCTGGGCAATTTAAAGAGAGATATATATATAGTTATATATATATATATAAACTAGCGAAATAACCAAGCGAAATACTTACACGGCACCTTATGCCCCGCATCATACACCCTCGTAAACGAAAAATTCCCATACTCCCTCGTCGCGCCATACTCTTTATCCCCCACCATGAACGGCGCATAACCAGCCCTCCTGAACTGCTCTGCCCCCGAATACTCTACCTGCAAGGACACCGCCTCCCCGCCAAACCAGTTCGAGATGTAATCGGCGTCGCCGTAGATGAGCGCGACGCGGACGTGCGAATCCAGCAGCTCGGCAAGATAGTTGAGGAAGACGGGCTGGACCAAGTCGCCCGTGAGCATGAAGGCGGCGAAGATGTGCATGTTTTCTGCGCTGGTGTAGTTGAGGTTCACGCCTAGGGCGTTTTGGATGTGTGGTTGGTTTAGGTAGTTTATGAAATGGGTTGGAGGGGTGGGGTCCTGTATTTATGGTTTTAATGTTTGGATTTTTCTTTTTCTTTTTTTTTTTTTTTTTTTTTTTTTTTTTTTTCTTTCTTTTCCTTTTTATTCGGTTGCTGCAAGTATGTCAGGGGATAAAATAACTTTCCCGTCCTACGCTGCACTTACGTCGTGTGGATGGCGAATGTCATAGACGCCGCGGTCTGAAGAGGTATACCAGGGAGCCTCTGTGTATTGGTTGTTCATATTAGAGCAAGATTTGGAAAGAATATTCCTGGATATAAAATAGCTGATGGCGAACTAATGGCGAGAGAGAGATACTCACCAACAGTGCTTCGACATATAGACAGGGCATCAGCACAAGTGGCGTGGGCAATGATACCAGTCCTATTCATCTGCTTGCATGCAGATATGCTATCCGCGCATCCCCCCTCCCGGATCTGTGAGAATTTCATATAGTCCACTGTGCTTTGGTTAAGCTGGGCGGAGACTAGGAGTTAGAAAAATCTCAATCCGTATATAAGGCAAGAATAGGTGGGCAAAGTGTAGAACGGTGGTTTTTGGAATTTTTTCCCAACGCTGCACCGGGGTAGCATAACATACCGGCTTGATCCCGTAGGTGTTATTTACTGCAAATTCCGGGTAATATGGGAACTGCAGATATGTCGCCGTCAGTTTACTCTCCTCGAAGCAAAGCAGAAAATAAGTAAATATGGGGGTGTCCCCGATCTGTTAGCTGACCTGTATCTCAGCATCTACCAGCCCATTTATGATACCAAGGGTATTGAACTCGAGCTGGATGCCATCGGTAGTCCCGTTCGCAATCAGCTGATTTTGCTTGCGGAAGTACTTCAAAAACTACACCATGCTAAAGATTAGAACATGACGGAGGGTTGCTAGCGGATGGGCCTACTCAACAGAGGGGCCATAGTGTCTACAGCCAGGTTAGCACCTATGCGCCCAGAAGCGAAAAAAATAATAATAAATTAGCTAACAAGTAATTTGTGAACGTACCCCCCATAACTTTCAGTCCACAAGTTAAAACTTCGGGATTTGATCTTCGAATCAAGCTGCGGTATGGCACTGTAAAACCCTTGCAACACGTCCCAGACCATTACGGCGGCCTTGTCAGTGGTATCAACTGCCCAATGTGAGCATGATTGACACTATAGGTGATGAATGCACAGCTCATTATACACTTACTCATTGGATGACCACTGGCTTCTGCGAATCGGCCCTGCACACCAGCAACAGTCTCTGGTTCAATATCGCCCGTGATATTGTTCATCGATCCAAATTGGGTAGTTGCGTACGAAAATCCTATAGACATTGGCTAGTTGGTGAGCGCTGCGAACATGGAGAACACGCCTAATCATGACAAGAAAATTTCTGCAATATTGTCGCCATGTACGGTAGGCATTTTGTATTTCCGTGTCATTATCATTTCTTTTCCACCCAAGAGCGCTTGGAATCCCTCTGATCCCCATATTAGGTGGCAGCGAGTGGGTAAATCTGCCAACGCCTCTGTAGGAAACGCAAGGAACGCACCGACTCCCAAGGGCTGTGAGAGAAATAGCATATTAGAAACCTCATTCCAGGCATACGGGTTTAGCCTTGTTTCAAGATCTTCTGTCACATTGCACGCGCCGAGTTCTGTAGTTATTTGGGTAAGCGTCAAATCTAATTAATTCTCTAATTAGAACCGGGTTTCATTTTGGGCTCTAACCTTGAAATAGGCCGATCATTGAATCACTCCCAGGTCCACCGTTAAGAAACAGAGTGACAGGTGCATTGGCGGGATCATGTCTCGCTTCGAAGAACCAGAAGAACATGTGCGAGTGTTCATCGAGGTCAACATAGCCAGAGTAGGACTTGACTCCTGGAGTGGTTTCGCATACTCCATCGCTGCCCGGTTCCTTATATCTAATTTGCACGCCAGATGGAGACAATATTGTCTTCACCCCCTCAGGGTTTGCGGGGGTTTGTGGGTGAAGATTTTTGGCAGACACTGCTGCGTTTCCGAGTAAATTGAAGAATATCAACGCCTGGACAGCGGAACATATCTCGTATCTTCGCATTTTTGCCTCCACGGGAACAGGAGGAATTTACCGATATCCGGAGGACCATCTAGAAGGGAAGAGTTATTGGGATATGAAGCTTCATGTTCCCAGAAGCTTTTTATAATTATGGGCAAGAGAAATTTCATATCACACATCAGCGGGTAGGTGGGTAGCTGCCGCGGAGCCAACATCGAAACACGCTATCGCCACGATTACCCGTGTAACGCTCATCGCACGACGTGCCGCAAGTAGTAGGCGATGGCTATCATGCACGAGGGCAACGCCAAGGATGAAAAAGCGGTTCATATGAGACATCTAACTAGGTTAGTAGAAGTGACTGGGATAGATGGTCGGTGAAGACATTTATCCTAGAACGAAATAGAAGGACCGTCAATAACTTGAGCATAGGCCACTGGAGAAGGCGCTGAAATTCGGCATTTAGCATTGAATATTGTGATGTTGACGAAAGGTGACATCCCTTTTGGCCACCACACTTCATGGCCATATCGCGTTTTACGAGTATGCAGATTTCCTTATGCTTCTACCCTGCCTATTGAAAGTCCTGGCTTGGACTTCATATAAATCTGCAATGTTAGTATGGCTGTTAGTTGGGCGCATGCGTCGACTAACAAAAACAAGGATAGGGGGTTTTCAGAAATGGAATATGTCGGCCAAGGTATCACTGCTGGACTCTCTGCTGCTCAGAAAAGAATATCTGTACAACCATGTACATGTACATGTACCTCAGTAACCAGATGTAGACCATCTGGAGTAGCGCTTTTATTTTTCGATACGAGTATCAGTGTAAAATTGGCTGAGAATTGGAAGAGAAACACGTACCAAGCCTGTCGGACAAGGACGGTCCTTCACCGCTAAAATGAATCCAGAAATGTCAACATTGACCCACGTATATTAACGTGGAGACTTGCATCAGTCTTCAAAAAGGATAATTGGCCCCCACGCTGCCTAGCCGTCTTGTTCCACGAAAATAGGCCAGTATCCAGATGAGCGCAGGAACTCAATGTTGTGCGACGGATCAAGTTTCGACTATTGATTGGATCCACGGATCATCCGGTCATGCGGAGCAGCCAGCGCAGCCCATTTCAAGTTCAATCCTCGGGATATAAGAATGCACCTTTCCGGGCCTTTCTCACTGTAAAAGGGGAAGTGGACGCAGGTAAGTAGAACACGATAATTCAACAGCGACGTCGTTGACATCCGTTTCATCAATTCTCTGCTCTTTTGTCCTCATAATGTTCGATACCAGCTCGCCGTCCGTCTTTCGCCTCTTTAGAGCAACAATCTGCCTCAGCACAAATATCACTTCTTGGCTGCTGTAACTTGAGCACTTGGATTATAGGCAATCCAACCCACAGGCGCAGAAACGCAATTAATTTCATTCAAAAGGGCAATAGGAAGCGCAAGCTAGACACCAGGCGTTGGCAGCTTGCTTGGTAGTCCTGAGGAGCGAAAAGCGCACGAAAGGGGCGTCTGTGGAACCAGCGCCAAAACGAACCCATAAGCGGTCGAAGGTGATGATATAACTACCTGTCCCAAGCTATTTGCAAATTTAATGAGAAGAAGTCTTGGACAAGAGCTTCTCAAAATAGAACACTCATGGGTATTCGAAAAATATGTAAAACCTTTTGAGCCGTTCCTATATATGTCAACGAAGTGTTCAGGTTAGACGGGGGAATGTAACGAGTTTAAAAACGTAAAAAGCCCTAATCTGTGCCGATTTGGGCAGTCATTAGGGCTACAGAGTGGTTTGCAAAATAATAAACCTCGTCGACGCTGGCAAGCGGGTGCGAAGGGGGGGAATATTCTCGTCAAGCTAAACAAATCAATAAGTGAAGATTCAGCTTTCTGAAGTCAGTGAAATCGTGCCTCGGCGATTCTCCAATTTGCATTTCAACTAACTTAGCTCGGTGAAAATATAAATATTCAAAAAAACACAGCGCACCCCGCTCGACTGAGCAATCTCTGGCAACACAAGTAAGGGAGAAGGAATGAAAGGCGTGAACATGTTAAAAGACGACTTCTTCCTCGCAAGGTTCAGGACAAGACTGATTTGCTCACGACCATTTCCAGAACGCTTCGCTCCTGATTCCTGAGAGACCTCAGCAACCTCTCCCACTGAAAAAGGGAATAGCGCAATCGTCCTATGATAACTAATTCTCCTTAGCCCGCCCTTCCCGCGAGACGTGCGTGCATGAAACAAACCGAGGCTATGGGGGCTTGGGGGCCTTCGCACATTTAGCCTTCTGCATCATCATGAGAGTCACCCATCAATGAGCTTTTGAGGTAGCTCCACAGAGTGCATGCTCCGGAGCTATGTTTTTGGAAGTGCGGGACACGAGAACGATTGCGGGTACATAGCAGGAATGTGTGGAGTTGAAATTGTTTAGAGAAGGGAAGATGAGAAAAGCATATGAAGGATGTTTTTATTATTCAATGTCAAATTATATATATCTGGTAGTTACCTATGTGCGTATTATGGCATAGTTACAGGGCTTGCAATGGACGAAGCGCGTATAGTTAACTCGAGGTTATTATGTTTATTTATCTTTTGGCTTTATCACTTCATTTTGTGAACTTTGTAGAAAATGTGTAGTTCAAATTCTCCATTATTAAAAACATTCTCATTGCTTGCCCAAATTAGGGGCGTACAGCATCATTAGGTTCAAAACACGCCAAAAATAAGAAATGAATAAAATATAACCCTGCAGTCCGTAGACATCACGTAAACTCCCAGATCTAATTTTGATATTCCTTTATTCATGAAATAGGAAACGAAAAAATGCGAAAATGTCCGTTAAACTGTTTTATTACATTAAAGATGGGGGTATCAGGGCCCGAGTCGCATAACACCCGGTCGTCAAATCGATGCGTTGAAATCTGTATCAGCAGAAATGCTTATTGCTCTTAGTTGCAATGGCTCGCATTCAGTAAAAGGAGAGTTGGGACTCGTAGCCTTAGCGCCTGCGTTCTCGATGGAGGCATTCTTCAGGGTGCTGTTAGGCATAGAGATATGTTGTTCTCCAGCTTTGTCGTCGGAATCAAGTGGCTTCTGATCAAAGTTTGAGACCACTTGCAGATTATTGTTATTATTATTGTTCGTCTCAATGGTATTGTTGTTATTATTGTTGTTGAGGTTGTTCTCAGTAAAATCATGCATCCAGTCAATGTTATCAAGATTGTATCTGTTGCTGTTGTCATTTGACATGCTCGAAATCGTAGGGTCAATGCCGTCAATGCCGTCTTCACCGGCGAAGAAATTCGCGCCCGCATCGTCGAAATTGATCAACGCGTCGAGGTCGTTCTGGTTGATGTCTGCATCATGGGCGAGATTCATGAGCTCTGTTAGACTCGTGTCACTATCTTCGGTGCCGTTAAGTGCGGCTTCATCGGAGAAAAAATCAGGGCGGATATTATTAGTGCTTCCGTTTTCACTTCCCACGGATTGAGGTGGCGTTGAAGCGTAGAGAATATCCGGTTTCTCCACCTGAGTGAAGGGAATGCTAGGCGTGACTGAAGTATAAGTGAAGTCCGGGATTTTATCTGGCATGCTGTCCGGTGGTGGAGTCAAGGCATCGGGATGGCCGGTAGAGAAATGAAGTGCGCTTGGCCGAACTGGTTGCTCTTCAGGTACCTGGGTGGAAACCTGAATTCCAGCTTTCCGAATGGCGGCTTCAAGGAAGGACGTTGCGAAGTCTGCAGACGCATAAATTTCCCTCAGTCTTTGCAGGATCTGCATACACTGATAGAAGCGATGTAAACTGGCAGATCGGATATTAAGGTCATTGGATTTGATATCAAGGAGGTGGATGATGACTGCAGGGAGCAGAACAGTGACTCCCGTAGTTGGGAGGTAGCGGGTGAGGTCCATTGTATGCAAGTGCTGGGCAATATTTGTGATTTCGATTGCAGCATAGCGGACTTTGTTGCGGGACAGGTCCTGAAGTCCAGCTTCAACTGTTGAGGATGGGGTAGCAGGAAGAACTTGTGGACGATGTAATGCACTAGAGGTTGTAAGGTATATCATCTTCAGCAATGCCCGGTGGAGATGTAGGACTTCCTCCCCATTAGCAAAGCTAGATGATGAAGGGCGTAGATACTGAGCCACCTCCGGGAGACTAGAGAGCCAGGCTTCCAGCTCCTGATCACATTTCTGGACTTCACATGTTTCCGATGAAGCTTTCTTTGGGACCAACATCATTGTAGTCTCCGTCGTACCTCCAAACTTGTGACCCAGAACCGAATATTGCGCGCCAAGGACGTGGCTTATGCAAAGACACAGTTTGGATTTTTCCATAAACATGGTTGCAAGCTGCCTCTGTTGCTCAATATTATGCGCTAATTCGCAGTCTCCAACTATTTGTAGAGCTTCGGCGGAGAGTGGCTTGACATCGAAATCGTCCAGCGTGAGCATAGGGACATTGCAGTCTTCATCCTTAATCCGAGTGGGTCGTCGCATTCCTAGAGCAATCAAGCGGTCACGAGTGTAAGTGCTCCACCAAACGCGCTTCCAGAGTTTTTGTCGTCTAGGGTCCACACAGGAGGAAGACGGGTCTCGATGGAGGCCAATAGTATGTGCAAGTGATAAACTGACACCCATCCAATGCCAAGTATCTTTTTGGTCATCCGGCATCTCATACCAGTGAGTCATCAGCAAAAGGGATTGGACCAAAGATATCCGATCAACCTCGTAATCAAAATCATACAAAAGCTAAAAGATGAATCAAACACACGTTAGCGAGAGGCCTCGACAGCAAAACAAGAAAAACCCAAACTTGCCATACCCTAGCTCTTTGAAAGAATGCTTTCCTGGCATCCTTTCTTGATTCGTAGCCAGCCTCTACTAGGTGCTTCATTGAGATGAATGCAGTTCCGGCAAACATAGTTGCTTGAAATAGAAGAAGGCTCATACGACGCGAACCATCGTTCCGTGCAATAGTACGCAGGAAATCGTCCAATTCCAACAGTGGCATGTACGGATGAACGAATTGCAGGTAACTTTTCATGAGTTCATTGCGCAGCCCCTCACTCGGAATTGTCAGAGCACCCTTGGCTTCAAGGTACGCGATATCGTCGGACTGGAACTTCGCCGGCAGAGGGCGGATAAAGTTGGGTAGCCAGCCTTTCGGCTTCTGTGGGGGCTGGGGGGAAATGCGGGCTCCAAAATCGACATCAAGTAGTTGTTGAACGGCGGAAGTCATATTACACAGTGGGCGAGCGGCCGGACGCGCCGAAATACTTGACATTCTGCGTCGTCGATCTTCCTGCTTGATTCGGTTGTCTTGCGTTTGATCTAGAAGTCACATTAGTAAACTGGGAAGATAGTATCTGTAGATGTTATAAACGACGAACATAATAGGTGCGGAACGTGATGACCGTGCTCCAAATCCACTGATAACTGAGATGGCGACAACGGAGCTAGCGGATCGGGAATTGGCACCCCGATATGGTCCTCAGTGCTGGTGTTAAAGGCAAATCCCGAATCGTCTGGTGTGTTAGCTGATTGTGTCGGTGTGGAGTTTGAAGCGCCTCCATCACCTCGAGACTTCCTGAGAACAAACATCTATCAGCTTTCATTCAAATTATAAGGAGCTTAATTCATCAAGCAAACGTTCGCGGTTGCTTGGGCAAATAAACTGACTTTCTGCGCTTGCTCTCGGTGACAATGCATTTCACTTCATCTAATCTGCAGTTCGTACACGGAGAGCCATTTTCCATGACATCACATCGGACCTTGCGCGCCCTGCAACAGCAACAAGCTTTCGATGCGCGACGTTTTACCGGGCGAGATGTAGTCTGAATGCCTGCAGCGGCGGCTTTCCGCTTATTCTGCGGCTGCAGTTCCGCTACCTCGACGGAAGCCATGACGAATGAATTTGTGGCCAGCGTAGTATGTATGAGAGAGTTAACTCTTCCAAACTTGCAATCGGTTTCCGAAATCAACACAATTTTAGAGAAAGTCAGGGAGCAAAAAGAATCGTAAAGAAGATCCGATATTATCAAAATATATTTATAAATCCCAAAACAGGAAGAGTGGAGAGTGTGTATCACAAAATTTGTACAAAATAGAGAGGCGGGCAAAATAGAGGGAAAAAGGGGGGGGGGGGTGGGGACCAAGCTCTTATGTAGGCCAGTCCATTCCGGCGCAAAGCTTGCTCATCTCCTAACAAGCTGCAACAAGCTGCAGCCATAGCAGCTCGCCATTGTTTGCCTCCCCCATATCGGATATGAGACTTGCGGGTTTCAAAGCGTGGGCTGTGGCCCTGTGGGGAACTTCCAAGGTTGCGGCGGGGCGCCAAAACGAAGAGACCTGGGCATTTAACGACGACCGCTGACGGCGCTGAGAGCTCGTAAACCGGAGTGCTAAAAGTGAAGAACAACGCGCCTTTTCGGACGATAGTAGACGCTAGACTGAGTTCGCGATGGGACGAGAAATTTCTCAGAATTCCAGTAGCTGGAGAGAAGGAGTTGAACCGCCAATCGCCAGGTCAAGGGGGGACCCAACCCCACACTGAACCGCCGAAGAGCCCGCCTCTCCAGTAAGTGTGCTTATTTTAACTGGTTTAGCGGTCATACATTTCGCCGCTAAATCTAGAGGACTGCCAAGTTGTGCAGGGTCCTTGTTGCCGAAGTTCTGCTCCGGCGAGAAACGGAGGCGTTCTCATGATCTTAAAAGTTGGAAGGCTCAAGCAACGAACAACAAATCGCTGACTCTCACATGAATAAAACGCAAACGTGCGACCTTCTGTTTAAAGGAAGGGTGTTCAGCCCATGCACAATATATGATGATTATTATTATTGCCATGCTGGATGCGGATTATGAAGCTCTATGCAATGAGACAAAATTTCATCCGGGTGTTTGGGTGCGAATGCCGAGAGCCGGGCCTGTACCTGAAATATTTTTTTTGCCCTTTGAATGCATAGTACCGAGATGTAGTTGTTATCTCTCAACATACGCAGTAAGCATAAAAACTGCCGCTGTTCATATTTGGATCATTATTATTGATTTTGTGAGCCTGTTCGCCATCTAATAAACTTGCGGAAAAAATCAATAATTCTAAATGTTTGCAAGAGGGTCCAAGGGCGCAGGAATTTGCCAAGCTGGTGAAATTACCTCGGGCTGCGGCCGATTGTTCTCCAGGAGGACGGTTGGTGGATGGTGTTCGGTACCTAGGTACCTTGATACCCCAAACATGTAAGGAGAATTAAGTTTTGTGTGGGCCACTGGAATAATTTTGCGTGCTGGTTTTCAGGCTGCTTCGTGGATTACTGATGATTTGCCCTGGAAGCACCTCTTGAGACTCGCTAATTCAGGTCATGATGCCTTGTGCTCTAGAAGCTTCAATGTAATAAGTACTGAGCAGTTTCTCATATGGTCTACTAATTGCCCGATCTTGGAAGTTCGCGGAAAGTTGAGATCATGGGGTAGCCAGAATTTGATTATTTATGGCCAAAGTAGTTTTTGCTTTCGGAGTTTTGCGTTTGTTCGGGCTTGCGCGGTCAGGTGGCCAAACTGTGGGACAAAACAGGTTGTTTCGTCCAACCTTGGCTCAGGAAATCCTTGTTGTTGGACTCTCGAGTTGGGTTTTCGAGATCGAGATGCCTGCAACGACCACACAAAAGTCCGGGGTCGGACGCTTAACTACTTCCTTTCAGCCCTAGATTTTAACCATTTGCCTGAAGGCTGAGACTGAGAAAACGAAGCGGCCAGCTTCGGGGTTCCCCAATATTCTGCGTCGGGCATTCCTTTATCGGCGGTCATCCTCTCAAGCCAATGTGGCACCCATTCGGGCAAGTCTTCTGGGTTGTTCATCTAGGCTAGGAAAACCTAAGCCATCGTTAGCTACCGAAGAAGTTTTGGCTAGCCTGCTTTGGAGATCCATTGCTCCCATGCGACTGGCCAGCTCAAACCCTTCAATTACGAGGGGTGATACTGATTAGTAAAGCGGGGGAGGGGCAGGATTTTCAATGATAAGAAGGAACATGGTCAGACTTGCAGATTCGTTGGTAGCCGTCACTCCCTATGCAATGAAAGGAAATAGTTATTTATATCAGTTGGATGCTAGAATCCTGTTGTTTTGTTCGACGACGTACGTTGGTAACCTCGAAATCCCCGTGATCTGGCATGCCCTAATCGTCCGCGGTTAGTCCCGTATGCTGGACTTGATGGCCTTGTCTTCAACCTCATCGGAAGACGACTCTCAAACTGTTGAATTTGTGCTGTAGAGTTCGTGGGATTTCCAATGGTTCCGCCTCTCCTTTGCCCTGCCTCTAGCGCCTCCCGCCACGCGATTGTTCCTTCTGGAACACTTATTAGTTAATGGAGCAACGAGCTAGGTAGCTCACTTTATTCATGGAGCTTGGGATTGCTCCACATTGCTTCGCCGCCGAATACTTTCCGCCCCAAAGATGGGGACGGGGACTTCATTTTTTGTGCCCCATTGTTATCCCCCTTCTTGCTATTTATTTTATTTTTATTTTCAAAGACCTCGAACAAAGGCTGTCAGTTTTCTCTTGGATCTCCTTCCATCGTTTTAAAATTTAAGTTTACCAAATCTGATAAACACTGTATATACGCTTGGTACCTACCCGGATGGTTCCCCGATTCCACCAGGAGATAAAAAGTTAAAAGTGGCTGCGGAAAGTCCTGCACTTTTCTGGTTGCTCTTCACTTATGATTGCTCAGGGGTGGGGTGAATTCAACTTGGAGTTATGACTCTATCACACCAAGGAAGCACCTGAAGTCCTTGGTTCGTTAGAATATTTCTCTCGGATTTTTTTTGGCGTCGAACACCCCGTCTCGGAGAGCCACGTCCAAATCGAAGATGAGTCAAATAATTTCTGAGAAAGTATCAGAAAGTGATAATTAGCCTTGACGTCAATCTGAAGTTTTAGTCTGCCTGAACTCTGGCCATCAAAATCCCGGAGAGCATCGCAAGCGTGCTTCGAAGTTTTCGGAAATCTTCCGTTCAGGCCGTCTAACGGGCACGCTACCGCGAAAGACAACAGAGTTGTGCTGTCAGGTGAGCGACTTGTGTTCTTTTTTGCCTCTATCGAGTCTACCAAACCAAAAAAAAACCTGTTTTGAATATAGCCCTATCTATTGGGCACGCCTGGACAATGCGGGATTGAAATAACCATCACCACCCCTGAGCGGACCCCGCGCGGCCTGACGGACTACCCGCCTGCTTGTTCTCCCTCTCCCTCGCAGAACGGCATGCCGCTGATCTAGACTCATTGCTCAGCGCTCGCCCAGGTAAATCCCAAGTGCTAAACAAACGAGCTTCCTCTCTTGGGAATGTACACGATTAGGGCATTTTTAGTTTAACTAACGAAATGATGACCAATGCGTCAACAATCCTTACATTACATCACCTGTCTGGTATTTTCTTTTTGTTCTTGGAATGAGAGGGATAAAAACCCACAGACTACGAGTAGAGCACACCAATATACTAATACGAATCCCGGGAGGGATTCGCCGACAACTTTTGATCAAGGCGGGATAAGGCGATAACTGCAGTCACAGTCAGTGAGTGATAAATAAATAATAATAAAATTTCTCAGAATCGAATCCTTGCGGGGAAGCCGGGGTTGGGTTGCGGAGACAGTCGGGATAGCAGACTAGCTTGGCTGGGAATATCTCGGCCGAGGGCGCCCAGAAAGCAACCATCCGATATCTGTTCGTTTGCCTCTAGGGTGATAATAATAATTATTTTTTTCTCCTTGCGCTTCTTGCCGGGGCGTCCATCATGTGGGGCTTCCGCAATCGTTTCCTTCCATGCTGATATAAGACAGCATAGCTAACTAACTATACAAAAGGATGTAGCCCGCCAGCTTTCAATCTGTTACTTAGATGTTGATTCCCAGCACAATTGCCGTGATAATTAACCAACGGCTTAGATCATGTTATTTACACACAGTCCGGGGTCATTTGTAACGGATGTGACATCGCAGACCACTAGCATGCGACATATATCTACAATCTTCACATACTACTTCGAGGAGCCATCCTAGTTTACAACCTGATGGAAGGGAGAGCCAATATCCTCAGTCATCACGCGCTCCATACAACCTCTGCCTCGTTCAAGTGGTGGTCCCAAATTAGCGAGTAGAAATCCGTTGTGCAGATTTACGGGACAGAGATGTTTACGTGCCATGAAACTTATACCACAGGGGGAACAGCATAAAAAACTTTTTCAATCTTGAAATAGGGGTATCAGTTACTAATTGGTACCTTGAGCAGAACAGTAATATAACAAACACCCAGAGCTGGAGGGGGAGTTGCAACAAAGATACCAACTTCTCTAGCCTGATCCATTTCCTCTAGAACATCCTCCACACTTCGAAGAAGAATAAGCCATCTATAGCAAAATCTTCCTCCCAGCCTCCAGCTCACCTATTTCCTTACGCAATTGAGCGCGTTTCCGTCTCAATTTGGGATCTTCTCCAGCGATTTCACTAAGTTGTTCTGCGGACAGGCTTTGGACAAAGGCTGGGGAGAATTGCTTGAGGGGTGTCTGTCGACCAGCGATGAGATGGTAATCTACCGCTTGCATGCACACGCTGTCCACGAAGCGTTTCCGAGCTACTCTATAGTACGATTTCAAGATATCATGGAGATCGCGGACGGTATGCTCGAGGTTACTCATATGGTTCTGATGCACGATATCCTGGAGTCGGACGACTGTTCCGTGAGCACGGTCGCTAATTGCATGTTTTTGCATCGCGGTCTCTATCCGTTTCTGGCGGCTGCAAACAATGTCAGTATGTCACACCAATATGAACTTCGGGGAGTGGGGAAGGCATGCCATTTCTCAAGGTTGTCGTTGAAATAGTGATTAAGCGTCATGGGAATGCCATCTCTTTCCACACACAGGAGGAATTTAACCTGGCGTAGAGACCGCTGGTATATCTCAACAAGCGGATCCATCAGAAGGGACAGTAAACGTTCACGGACCGGCCGATCTTTGCAAACCGATTCCAGTACTTTTAGGATAAACGAGTGGACTGCACATATCATGTCGCTGACGTAACCGAGCGCAAGAATTTCCCAGTTGACGGATTGTTTCTTTACGATCGGCGACAGAACTGACGGGTTAAATGTGCCAATTTCGAAACCACGGCTATTGCGGAATGTATCTCTCAGCCATGTCAAAATGTGTGTTTGGAAAGCATGCTGAACAGTTGTTGGGGGCGTAAGAATGTCTTCAAGGCCCTCAGGGTCTTTTATAGACCTACTCGTCGGACCCTGGTTTCCCTCTTCGCGAGCATCTTCGCCTCCAGATTCACATTGATCCCCATCGATCACCTCCCCGGATTCATCTTCTCCATCCGCACTGGAAACAAAGGCATATCGATGTCCCCAATGCTCCATGTCCTCAGAAAACCTGTCATTTCTGTTCACCAAAATAGTGGGAAGCTTTGTGGACGGCTCTCGATCGAATATATCATTGCCACCGTAATCGGAAGCCAATGCGAGAAATGATATGTGCTGAACCTTGGTGATTATGTCAAGAAGATACTTTCGTTGGCTGTCTGTAGAGTCCCTCTCTGGGCCTAGGGACGCTAGCGCGTCTTTCTTGCGAGCAAGAGCTTTGCTGATCTCGGACTTCACCTACTCGAAGTTATATCAGTAGTAGACCCTTTATTTAGTTATTTAGACTAGTGAAAACTGACATGGGGAAATTCCCGGCGGATATGCGAGGTAAGAATCTCCTGGAGCCGCGTGCGCAACGAATTGATTCCAACTTTATCCTCATCAATCGTGTTCCAGGGAGATGTCGACCTGAAGAAACTTTCTTCAGCCTTGTCGCGATCCTGTGTGCCGTCGTCGAGATCCTGTTGGCCCTGATTTCGTACTAAACTCCATCCCATCTTCCAACTCGATTCCTTTTCCAACAGATGAATCACTTTTTTTTCGGCGCCCTTGTCAACAAGGTCTGGCTTCGTGAGTACACCGATTGTTCGTTCCCCGTGAGCATCGACCTCTTTTGCCATCTCTAGAATCTCCTGGGTTGCGATATCGACATTTGCAGGCACGATTACCAACATCACACTTCGCGGGTTCTTCATGTATTCTTGCACCATGTTTCTGACAAGTTGGATATCCTCTTTCGTAGTTAAGCCGGATGTAGTATTTTTGAATATACCTGGAACGTCGATTATGCTTAGGTGATCTTCATCGGGACCGCAGACCTCCAGCCTAAGAACATCGGTTGAAAATGTCTTACCAGATGTGTCCAGTGAATCGCTTAACCCCATGACCCCGTTTACCTATTAATGTTATCCAATCAGTCGGCAATAGTTCAGAGTGCACATGGCAAAAGCGAACTCACTTTAGCCATGATGTTCGCGAAAGAAGGCCGGTTCAGTTCTGGAAGATCGACAATTCCCCAGGAACGGACATGTTCGGCATGTTCAAGGTTCGCATCTGCACCAGGTATAATCGACACAGTAATTCTCTTCTCCTCCGCCCTCCGAAAGGTGATTTGAGTTGCGAATCTTGTGCAGAGGCCACTGTCGCGAGGAAATGGTAACTTTGTCAGGCCTTCAAGAACCGAGCTTTTACCAGACGATTGATCTCCAACGACAACTAGTTGAGGCAGAGCAATATGGCTCCCCACATTACAAGCAAACAGTTTATCAATTTTGTCCAGCAGCGTAGGGTCGGAGAGCTTATGGTAGGCGCCGGATTCCGACTCCATTCTGACGGATAACAAAGTCCAAGGCTTCAGTCTCTGGATACTAGATTGATGTAGCAGGCCTGGGGGAAAAGGTGGTATATATAGACAAATTCATGTCTTCCAGATCCCATAGAGTCCAATAAACTGGTCTAGAGGAATTCCGGGCAAAGTCCACTGGATGCTTCTGAGGATCACCACAGCTGAGAATGAATAGCTGTTGATATTGATGATAAAGAAATATCTGTGATCCTTCTTATGCAGCAGCTGTAGCATCCCATTTATTGGACTTTATCAAAGGAATCATTTGCATCTGTAACTTGGCCATCTCACTGGAGGGAGGTGAATTGTCATGTACCAGCGGAAATTGGCTGGGTCATAAGAAATGTCTAAAGGAGATGCCATCTGTTGACATAACAGCTTCAGCCATGCAGTAATGCACTTTCATGCTTCACTCATTGAAGGCAAGCAACAAAAAGGAGTGCAATTCATTAGTGTAAATTGCAATTGCCCAGCATCTATTGCAGGGATTGACCCAACTCTTTGGCAGTTTCATTGTGCCCATCTCCATGGACAGCTCCAAACAGTCTGGTCCAAAGTTTAGACAGTACATTTTTTAGCGAGCCAACATAGTCAAAGACAGTCATGACAGCAGATAGAGCCTTTCTTGGTTGCAGGGTGGTGTCTGCATGGATGAAACAAAGAACAAAGAGAGGTAGGTAGGGTAGGTTGTGGTTGATATCTTTACTAGCGCCATATCAACAGTCCGGGTGTCCACGATCGGTATTTCTGCTGCCTAGCCGCTAATCTTGAGTTGTATGCCACCTCGTACGGAGTTCACGCTCAGTTCGAAACATCAACTATCTAGACTGGGTAGAGAAGGTCTGTATAGGATGTTCTCTTCTCTCGATAATTACTGAAGCCTGGCCGAATGGCTAAAAATATGTGGCTTTTCCTTGCATGACTATGACGTTTGTTTGCCCGACTGTCACGCAGAATGAACACGAGCATGATATTGATTCCATCTCAGGCAGCAAAATTAACAGTAGGATATGGAAGAATGCGGCGGCTATATATACCATCATCTGTTCAGGGCAGCATCTTCCCAATGCGCCCGCTGAATTTCGGGTCTCAACGATAGTCTATCCAGTGTATTCATCGCCTACTTCTCCATTTCGCTATCAAAAATGAAAATCGCCATCATCGGCGCAGGCATTGGCGGATGCGCCGCCTATCTCTCCTTGAAGAAGCGCCTCCCAAAGCCCCCGTCCCCATCTCAGGACCATGAATACACCATCTATGAAGCCTACGCTACCCCCCGGGACTTCGAATCCCCCCATCCGCTAGGAGAGACCCATTCTGCCTCCCTCGTTGTGGGCGGAGGTCTTGGCGTGGGTCCCAACGGACTCAGGGTCCTCCAACGGCTGGATGAAGAACTCTTCCACGACGTTGTACGGGCCGGGTATCCCTATGGCACCCTGAAGTTTATGAACTCGTATGGCTGGACGCTGATGCGGATGTCTACTCGTGGCGGTTCTGACCCGGAGATTAATTCCGTTTCCATGAGCAGACATGCGATTTGGAAGACTCTACGGAGTCGCATTCCGGATGGCGTTCTTGTCAATAAGCGTGTTATGGAGGTTGTGGCTAATGCGGATGGACGAAATATCATCAAGTTTGCGGATGGGAGTCCAGATGTAGAGGTCGACCTTGTAATCGGCGCGGATGGCTTGAAAAGCGTGGCAAAGAAGGCACTGTTTCCCGCGGAAGGGCAGGATCTGTACCCCCCACATTATCAGTTGAGTTTTGGTTTCCTAACCATTTCACTGTTAGGTTATATGAAACCCCGCATAGCTAACATTCATCCCCTTTTATAGAGGCATAGTTGGTATCGGTGGCTTCGTGCCCCTAGCCGACATCAGCTCACACGTCGAAGCAGGCGCCATGAATATTGTGTTTGGAGGGAACGGGTTCTTTGGCTACTCTCCCTCAGACACAGATGCTGAAGTCCCTAACCGACACATACCACAGGGAGTCTTGCCTCCTGGAAAGACCGTTATGTGGTGGTCTAGCTATGCCATTGACGACTGTCCCAATCCCGAAACCATCAATAAAGAAGCCGTAAAACAGGACCTGCAGAAACGACATGGCGACTGGCGAAATCCTGTAATCCAGAAGATCATCAACAGCGTCGAAGTCGAAACAATGTACCCGGTGTGGACAACCCCTGAATTGCCAACATGGGAGCGTAACGGGGTTGTGCTGATTGGAGACGCGGCGCACACCTTACCCCCGACTTCAGGTCAGGGAACATCGCAGGCACTGGAGGATGTAGAGTGTTTCTCGATGTTCTTGGCCTATTATTTGAGCCAAGGATACGACCTTAAATCTCCAACGGAGACGGAGGCGTTGGCGGAAAAGGCTGCTATTTCGCAGACTTCGAAAAAATATATGGAAATCCGCCAGCCGCGGGTTAAGGATATTCTCAACAAGGCGAAACGGATGGAGAATAAGAAGAGAAACTTGACTATTTTTGAAGAATGGATCTTGTACATAGTACTTTTTATCGTTGGTGAGTTAGTTCTCCTTAATTCCCCCTCTCTTGAACCTCGACCGAAAATTGGCTAATATTCCTCCCTTCTCCTGCGATGACAGGCTGCATGCCAACTCTACCTTGGTCGAAAAACTTGTTTGCTTATGACGTTGCGGAAGATGTGAACCGTGTCATCCAGTCAGAGAAACAAAAGAAGCCGGAAAAAGGCAAGATGTAGGACTATCCATGGGTATTCAGCGCTTCTCGTGGATTAGATCAGCACCACCACCGTAATTTTATCTTTAATGCTCCTCCCTGTTTCCCTTCTCTGATCTATCCATTATTTGACCCTTCTCCACTCACATACATCGTCAAATGTCCTAGCACATCTCTATTTAATTACATTATACCCTTTTGAATTTTTCTAATTTCATTTTGAACACCCCCTATCCTGCACTTTTTGAAAAATCAAAAATGTACTTGCAAGTAGCAATCCAAATGGTAAAAATGAATACTCACGATGCTCCACCTCTCTCTCTCTCACAATGTGCAAAAGAAAACAATAACAAGAATGAAAATACCTCTGATACCCGTTATTTCCCGCTGTAGTCAATTACACTACATAGCATAAAACCATCGACCTGCAATCCTCGACGAAAACCATATACATCACATCCCGCGACATGGGAATGAGGCAATCATTGAACAAGAAATCAGAATGAAAAGAAAAGCAAAGCAAAGCAATGAAAACATTCATTGTACCATCTCTTTCTCTCTGGTCAGATCATACATCTACATAAACAGACCAAGTAAAACATCACAACATTCATCAGCATTTCTCATTAAAACAAAGAAAATCATAAAACATAAACAACGGCATAAAGATAAACATAGAAATAATATATAAGGGGAAATGAAAATGAGAAAAGAAACGATGAAAACTCCCAACAGGATCCACCTCCCTGCCATCTACATCCACTCCATTTCCCCATCCACACAGCAGCTCTGTAAAAAAGAAAAAGAAAAGAAAAAGAAAAAATCCTCAGACCGCGCCCCCACCTCTTCCCATTCTCTCAATCGAGCTCATAATCCCACTCCTCCCCGCCGCGGCTGCAGACATCCCACCACTACTCGTCGGCAACCCGGAACTAATAGACTTCCCGCTCCCACTATTTCCTCTAGAATGGCTGGGAGCAGGCATTCCAAACCTCGGAGCCTTAGGAGTTGGACCGCCGGGTGGTCGAATGGCAGATGAGGATGAAGAAGTTTGGATACGGCCAATGTTACTATTGCCGCTAGGGATAGCGTCGTTTTCTAGATTTTGCGTTGGTTTTCCGATGCTATTATCGAATCGTGTGGTGGGTGGCTCATCTTCGGAAAAGGAACGCTGGCGGTAAGTAGGTGGTTCGGGAAGTTTTCGTCTGGGTTGCTGTTGTTGCAGTTGTCGCTGTAGTTCTGCCTGCTCTTCTTGGATCATCTGATCTTCCTCCGCTTGCTCTTGCTGCCGCTGCTCATCATCGCGGTCATGGTGGTTGTGCAGTTGCTGCTGGTTTTGATATTGCTGGATTGCAAGCCACTCATCAACGGCTGCAACAAGTTCACCCTTTTCTGCACGTTCCTGTTTTAGTTCAGATCGAAGGGCTTCACTGTCACGTTTAATAGATATGATCTCCTGTTCTAAGCCCTTGACATGAGCTTCAAGAACCCGCTTGTCTGCCTCAAGCGATTCGGTCTCTCGAATAAATGTAGCCTCTCCGCAGAATCCACCTTCCCCACCAGAAATGTTGGAGTCCTTTTCTGCCCTCAAGCGGTCGTTCTCCTCCAATGCATCCTTCAATTTCCTCTCTGCTTCCCTAACACGCTTCTCCCATCGTGCTTCATAACTCTTTTTTAGAGCAGCGACTTTAGTCTCATGCTTTCCTTTGTAAAGTGTATGTAATTCACGAGCAACCTTTTCAACAGCATCCTGGATTTCTCTGGCTGTTTCTTCAGCGGATTTCTTATCAGCCTCAGTAGGAGGAGAATTTGTTGCATTTCTGGCGGCGGAAAGTTGGCTCTCCAGCTCCACAATTTTGCCTTCCAATTTCTCCTTGCATTTTTCTCCTTCCTCGATTTTCATGTTCAGCCTCTCACGCTCACGCTCTGCATCAACGATTTCATCCCTAACGCTTCTCAAGACTGATTCCATCTCCTTCCCTCTTCGATCCCATTCCTGTTGTTCGGTTTCTCTCCGGGCACACTCGTTTCGCAATTCCTCGGATACTTCCCCAACTCTGCGTTCCGCATCCGAAACTGACTCTTTTAAACACTTAACTTCGGCATCTCTCCCACTAAGTGTAGCTTTCAGAGAAGATATTTCCGAAAGGAAAGAAGACTTCAAGGATTCTAGCTCTCTAGGAGTAATGCTTGGAATAGACCGAGGAGTGGGAGCAGGGGGGATGTCTAAGTCCAGCAAAGAAAATTTTGACGGGGAGCGAAATCCAGAGGCGGTAGATTTTCCTGGGGAAAATCGAGACTGTCGTCGAGCTGGAGAGTGGTAACCGCCCTGTGCGGCATATGAAGCGCGAGAAAATGCATGGATCTGGTCTGTAAATTCGGTAAAGCTCATATGGCTATCGCGACGGGTGTAGTTTCGTCTAGGTGTTGGTGTTCCTCCATCTTGCTCCGAAAAGATGCCTCTCCTCTTGATTGTGTTAGGGGTGTCGGGCATGTCGTCGGGACATCTGGCGACGCGCACATTTTTCTGCGGGCTAACGGATCCTTCTCTTACCCGCTTCATTGGCGAGTCTCGTCTGAGTTGAGCAAAGCTAGTCATATCTAAATTAGGAAGAGCAGAGAAGGTGCTTAGGCATGTATCGTCCTGATCACAAGAGGCGTGGTGCTCGTTCCCACCATGGCTGTCCGCCATGCCGTCATTATCACTTAAGCCACCTTGGTAGATAGTGCTCATACTTTCGTTATTCTTCTCCTGTGTTGTGATGTTGGATTCCTCCCCGTAATTATTGCGGTTGCCATGTGGGTTGAGCATACTCGTATCAGTTTCTGTTTCGTATGTCTCTTGATTGCGACTCTCAATAGGCGGCTGGGTATCGTCGCCATCGTCCATAACATCTTCTTTGATGGCAGGAAGTTCACCCTCTCCATGTAAACTCTCTTCCCTCTCTTCCTCGACACCATGCATAAGCTCCCGACTATCCAACTTCTCTTCATACGGCTCATCCATACCAAAATTCCCTGGTTCAGCTTCTCGAAAGAGAGGCGTGTGGTCACTGAGCACAGTCGACCGAAATGGGGAACTTGCAGGGCCGTCGTGTCCAGCGTTAGAAGGGCTATCCCCGCCGTGGCCAACGCCGACATCACCGTATTCCAAAGGAACCGTGGAATCGTCGTATGTCGAAGGACGCCTGTTCTCATCGCTGTAAAGTGGGCTTTTCATTGAAGGAGTGTTGGCGACATTATCAATCGTTGAGGCTTTGATAGCCGGGGAACCCGGCATTCGCGGAGTATGTGCGCTGGGAGAAAAAGGAGGACGAGAATTCCGCTTAGACGGCGTTAGGACGGATAGAGGGCTGTCCATTGTTTCGGCCATAACTTCTTTTCAAAAGTAAAGGGGAACAAAAAATAAAAGTCTTAGAGGGCCAAACGGCACCTCGTGCGGATTTGCTCTTTTTTTGTATGAACGGCGGCTTCTGAAGCGTTCGCGGTCTTGACTTGGAAGTGAGGATGTGGGAAAGCAAAGGTAGTCAAAACCAATATGCTCGCAAATTGTAAGCTTGGATATAATTGCTCTACAAGTTAATGTAGCAGAGGAAAATTATGGCTGTTTCGTCTCATCCAGCCAAAACTTGGTGGTGAGAGATTGACAACTGAATGTTTGCGATGGTCGTTGCTGTGGCATTGTTCTGGGGAGCAACGGATGTAAATAAAGCTAAACTACATATGGTCTAGCATGATTATACCACATGATATTAGCGTTAAGTTGAGAATGATAGAATTATTTTATTCAGCTAGATACTACGGGGAAAGAAAATCAATAATAATATCAATTGGAGTAATTGGATTGGGAGAGTGTAGTGTACTGTAACCCCGTATTAAAACCAAATCACGTAAAGCGTGAACAATTCTCCAAAAAAAAAAAAAAAAGTGTATGATAAAATAAAATCAATTGCCTCGCAAGAGTATCAAATCCAACATATAAAGTAGAGATTGAAAAAACGGAAGAAAACAAAACTAGCCATCACCCATAGACACATTATTTATAATACTCTTTATGGGGGAATAATAATAATAGTATAACCATATGTCACTTGATCCATCATCCGCAAGGAGTAAAGTAACGCCACCAGTAAAAGGCAAGAAGCACGGCAGAAGGACAGGTAAGGGGCAATTTCAACCCAATTCACGAGGCTAAATAAGCAAGCGTAACCTAAGGGAAAATCGAAGCCCGCTAAGCGTTATCATGAACAGTAACATGGACAATCTCGGGGATTAATGGCTCTTCCTCCTCCCCATGATGAGGGTGATGAAGAAAGACATCCGGCGCCGTAACCGACACGGTCGTGTGCTTCTTGCCCTGCATGAAGTATAGCTGACAAGCTCCCACAATAGCAACAATCGCACTACCCCACCATGCGAGGCCAGTGAATTCGATTTTCGAGCCAATGCTATAAAGATACCCGGCAACCGGCGGCGCAACTGTTCGACACGCTGCGCCGGCAGAAGCGGCGAGACCGTTAATTTTACCGATCACGGAGTGTGACGGACTGGCTTGTTTGATGAGGATCAATAGGACTGGATAGTCTAGGATGGAGAATATGTTGCGGATCGTCAGGCAAATATATATCCCAGGGAAAAGTAGGATTTGCGGGAGGAAGGCCAAGAAGGGGACGATGAAGTATGCGATTGGGTGTAGGACGGTAACCAGCACGAAGACGTTCCATACGCCCAGCCACTCTGCTAGGAGTGGGAAGAGTATGGCTTGGATTAGAAGGGCGATTATACCGTTGACGGCCATGATTAGTCCGACTGTTTGAACTGGAAGGCCCAGGCCGCCGGGGATGTTGAATGGTGATTTTAAGATTGTGGAGGCTGTTCCGGATCTTTCATCTTGGAGGAATATAGGTAGTAGATGATCGTACGTCATGGAATGATAGGTGAATATCCCCAATGCGATCACAAGCATGGTGACGCGGTACGTGAAGACCTTAGGTTCTTCAGCAGCAGAACTTTCGAGGGATTTTCCGTCCGGCTCAACATCCCATTCTTCGTCATTGTGCATTTCCACGTCGTTAAAAGTACCATATGATTTCGCGCGCAGATCAGCTGAGGCGTGAGCTGTAGAGCCAGTTGTAGCCACTGCGCCCAGTGGTACCCCAAATTCCTCCTCGTCATGTGGATGTTCGACAGCCGCTGCACCCCTGAGTAGGTCGGGATGTGTCTCTTCCAAGAACAAATACCCTGCTATGATACTCATGAGCTGCAACAACGCGCAAATAATGTTGGGGAGAAGGTAAGGAAAAATGCCAAAAATTCCAGAATGGGAGAATACATCCGGGAAGGAGTCAGCGGGTCTTGCGAAGTAGCCTCCGATTGCTACAGGAATGGTAGATCAGTATTCAAGCATTCACACGCAATGGAGATAGGATTATGCGGATATAAAATTTACCTGGGCCGATAATAGTGCCGATAGACCAGACAAATGGCATAACCGCGTAGGCACGGGCTGTAGGAAATAATAAGTTAGACGTAAAAGAACATGTCACGAGCTGGATAGGTTGAAGGAAAATCGTACGTTCATGTTCTGGCTTCTTGACCAACTCTCCCACCATTGTCTGGATCACGCCTATATTCCCATTCAAAATTCCACCGATGACCCTACCAAGTAGTGCTACCCAAAAACTAGTGGAAAACCCGACTATAAGCAGAGAGAGCATGGTACCTACGCAGCCGAAGAGCAGGATTGGCTTGCGGCCAACTCTATCAGACAGCCCACCCCAGAACATGCCTGTCAAGCTCTCCGACAGAGCAAAGGCAGAAATGAGAATTCCGGCGTAGAAGGAGGCATTGTTTTCACGGCCGATGTGAAAGTCTTTAACCATTATCCATGAGTAAGGGAAGATGGAGGTTAGGGCGATGGGTTCAGCCAGGCGGCATAGTGCTAGTACACACTTGTTAGTTTCGATGGTTGTAAAGCCCACATGTTCCAGTATGGGCATATGCTTACCAAGAATAAAGAGCTGTATAGTGGGAAAGGCTTCATCGGGGGCATTGAGCCGATTTGCAGTAGGCGTTGCGGTGGCATTGGTCGTATTGGCGGTGGAGGAAGAGCCGTTTGGTCTTGCCTGAGGTGTTAATGACATATTCTTCACAGAGTAATTTGATCCTTACGGCTATCCCCTCAACACGAATCCGACACTTGTGCCTGTCTAACTCAGATTCCGATCGATTCTAACGATGTCGACGGCGGTAACCCATCGGTTTCTCGATGTTGAGATACGCCTCGCAACGACTTGATATGGCGATTTGAGTCCTCAATCTCGACTCGATACTTTTTAGCACGACCGGAGTACAGACAGGAACAAGAGTGTAAAGTGCCTATCAAGCAGAATGAGAGATTTGGCGGTGTTTAACAGCAAGTTCGGCAAAAGAATATAAACAATAGAAATGAACGCAGTGTGAGTAATTATGACAGCAGTGGCGGGGTTTTAAGCTTGATATATCGGCTTCGGCTCAAGGAACCATACGTTCCGTAAAATCATTTCTTGGTTCCATTATGACGCATGGACAAGTACCCGGTACTTGTCCATCCCCGCTCAACCGCCCAACCGCGCTCAAATTCTCTTATCGCTTAAGAGCATGTTGAGTACCAGTACTTGACAGATGAAGATGGTTCCAGTCTTCCCCCTTGGTTGATGGTATGTGGAGATAGTTTCAGTCACACTGCCCCACAGTTTTGCAGTTAGGCCAGGCCTGCTGCTCCGATGAGCGGCGGAATCGCCATATGTATGTGGGTGCTGTTTCCCTTTCCCCGCTCATAGAATTCCATCTCAAACGCAGGGAGAAGTCAGCCCGTTTTTCAATTGAATAGAGTATTAATAAGCACGGGATTTTATCCCCCTTTCCTTATCAAATCCTAACTCCACGAGATTTTGATGCAATTGCCTCAAAAGACACTGCTGCGATATATCTCCCGCCTCCGAGGACCCTTTGAAGCACACCCAGTTCGGACTCGGTCGTTATTTAGCTGTTGGCAAAGTCTACGAGATGATAGAAATGTTCGCCACTAGCGCGTCCCGGAAGAAATAATTGGTTTTAAATTATGGCCAAGTGAGTGCGTGGCTTGCCGCCCAGGCCGGAAGTGGGCAAATCCATGCGCCAGTGCGGCAAAGTAGTTGTTGTCAAATGCGAAATGTATGTTTGATGCATCTAATTTGTTGATACTGCAGATATCCGTACTCTGCGACAGGCGACAAATGTGTCAAATGGCTTTTTTCAATGTTTTTCAGTGTACAGGCTAATTCCACATAATACTGATTTTATAGTCACGCACCAGTTACACTAGACTACTCTATATGGTTTAGTTAGATCCCCTCATCTGAGAGTGAGACAACACTTCGTGTATTTTTCTGCCATCTCAATTATTGAGTGCTTATTGACTGAAAGCTGTGAATTCAGCTTGTTTATTAATCATATCAATGGCAAGACATGATGCTAATTATTGTCTCGCTTTCAGATGAGAGGATAGAGCCTTCTCTCACTCTGAGTATAGAGTCTCTCTATGTATAGAGCTCTGGAGTATAGAGCGGCTCTGAGTATAGAGATCTCTGAGCGTAGAGACCTCTGAATATAGATTTCTCTGAAGGCTGGCCTGAGTATAATACAGACTGTCTCAGGTCAAGAGCTCTTCTCTTCACTAATGTAAGTGATTATTTCATACAATCTTCAATGAGAAGATCTTGATTGTTAATACAATCAGTATCATTGATGTGTGCTCATTGTAACACGTATAAAATACTCATATATCACATTTGTCACTATAGACTGCTATAACTAACTCTTCTATTTCAGTCAGAGACTATGCAGAAGATCTCCCTCAACATCTTATTAATCTGAGAGCAGAATTTATTTTTAATTACTCATCTGATTACTCTCACTGAGGTGTATACATATCTCGAGCAGTCTTTAGTCTTTACTAATTATATGATTTTACATATTGATCAGAAGAAATTCTTCACTAGAATCACTACTCTTAATTTGAAATCTATTATATTTCTGATTCTTTGATATCTCTATTCTCTAAACTAGACTGTTCAGAGAAAATCATCAAAATGTGATTGAATCTGAGTGAATATAAAGATACTTTTCATACACTTGAACTTAATGTCATTCTGTCTGAATTATATACATATATTGAAAACCATTTTCTTCTAATCTATTGATTAATCCTCTGGAGTCAAGACTCGGATTGTAAATGTAATCAATAGATCATAGTAAAATCTTCTTATAATGAAGACAGAATTTGAATCTGCAACTCTAATGTCTCAGAAGAGCCATTCTATAGCCAGTTTCTACTTACCATGAGCCTTCCATGGACAGTGCTTTTATCACTACACTATCCACCCCACTGGAGGCCTGTGGAAAGCCAGCTATGAATTTCTTCTGTTTAACCAAGAGACAAGTTTCGGACCGAACCAACCGGAATGCGCCACGGACTACACCCAGATTGCATCCTGCAATCCAAAACTAGTCTGTATATCCGTTTTGAGCTACCTCTTGCAGTGTTGTCTATTGATATGTATGTACATATTCCACGACACAGGCACATAGAATCTTGTGACCAACTGGCAAATAGAAAAGGTAACAGGACCAATCCCTTTTCCAAAGTTGCTTCTCTTTTTGGTTCATCTGACCGGAAGTAAATGTGCAGTAAAATGCGTGGTCCATTTGCCAAGAAGCAACCTCCTAACCCCTTTCCCATATGCATGGTGCCATGGGTTTCCAAAAATACAACGAAAACGAAGAAAAAAAATAAATAAAAAATAAATAAAAGCCCCGAAGAAAAGAGAGACATGATAATGAAAAGTCATGGCTTCGACAAGAAAAAAGTGCTCCAAAAACAGAGCTCGTGCGAGGTAAACAAATCCACTCCCAACAAATCAACAAAGGATTCTAAAACCAAAAATTAAAATGCCTGGTATGCAAACGAAATTCCAATGTAAATCGTGTAAATAAATCGTGCTCCGCGACTTAATGAGCTTGACCGGGGATTGGGAGGTACGATCTCCGCTCCCTTACTGCCTATATATCGAGGAGATCAAGTTAGCACGCACGACCCAAGGATGGCAAAAGGAAAATGATTTATTTCGCGCCCGTCATCCCCGAGGAATGGAGAGAGACTTACTAAGATCCATTTCTCTACCAATGGCTTTACTGCCGCCCATACTAATAGTCCCACTGTTGCAATGATGAAGATGTAAACGACAGCTTTGTCCTTGTTAGAGTCGCGCTCTAATAAACTGTTAGTGCCAGTTCTAACTATGTATATAGAGTGTGTCATGTCCCAAATAGAGATATTGTGGTATGTTTGTTATCCATCCCCAGACGAGTCCGAACTTGTGGCTATGGCCAAGATGAAGAACACGCAGTACTCACGAAAACATGATGTGACAACATCATCCTCCTTCGCCCCCTTACACTTGGGCAGTCCGTAGCCAAGGCAAAATCGGCGATTGCAATCATTACAGTTCAGCGCTCTATATTTCTTATCCCCCTTCTCCGGATCCTTCTTGTCGTCTCCGTCCTCCTTATCGTCTCGAGGGAAGAAGAATATGGCAGGAGATGGGGAGAGGGGCTTCGCTTGGGGGGGTCCTAGCTGGATAATGGTGCTGTTGGAGAAACATGTACATTTGCAGAATGAGGTATGAACTAATTGTTCGGTAGGTAGGGAACCTGTTAGCATCGAAGCGCAGCCGGTAGGAGGGGAGAGCAGCTTGGAAGGGGTCAAGCTAAGGAGCTACTCACTGGAGGCGGAAACGAGAGAAGTGAGGGAGATAGCGATGAGTAAGATGAGTAAAGTACTTCGTGGTATCATGACGGCGACGTGTTATATGATATCTCCATTCAGAGATGCTCGTGGAGGTATTCAGTGTCTTTTGCGGCTTCGAAGCTCAGTCTGCTCTGATGATGTTATGGCGTTCAAAAGGCTTGGCGAATCAGCACGTGATATGCCGTGAGACTTGGAAGGTTCGGCAATCGACGCTTGCCGATCCCGAGCTCGGGATTGGCTTCTCTGTCGGGAAAATCTGCAGAGGAGATTCCTAGGAAAGCCCATTCTTCGTTCTCAACTCAGCCCAGGTGGTTTCCAGGCCCCAGATTTTAAGTTACGGTCCGAAACTTTCTCGCCAGCCGTGCCCCTCCAGCCTATCCACACTTATCAACCGTGACTGACTCACTCCTCCAAAGGCTTTAACAAAAGTTGGCAAGTATAGGGAAGAGGTGCAGTTGGTAGAAGACGGAGCAAAAGTCATCCTCAGCATCAGAGATATTCAACAAGTAGCTGAAAAGCACTCAATTCTAATTTCTCCATGGGAAATGCCATTGCGAACAGACGATATATATCCGGACATGAAAACTCCTCGCCATGAATATACAAGCAGAACTCATAGAAATATAACGGATCGTAGGTTCAGAAAAATGGACGCGGAACATACTAAAATCGAAAACCAAAAAAAAGTGAAACGTCGAACCTGTCGACACTGCCCCATCTATCTATTCTATTTCCCCCGAATTCCCTTCTGCCTATTCTCCCTCTGCCTTTTCTCCTTCGCCGCCTCCCGCCGCCTCCTCTTCCATGCCCGATTGTTATCGCCCCGATTCTCCCAAAACCACTTCGCAAAGTCACTCTCATTCTTCTCTTCATCCTTTTTCTCACCAGCCGCTGTCAGATTTTTCGAGGGCGTAGCCAAAGTAGCTTCAGTTTCATCAACATCATCATCGTCCCAAAATCTACTCCTGCTCGGAGCGGCAGTGTCTGGAGTGGGTGCCGCGCTGCGCACAGTTCGTGACATAAGGTCCTGTTTCGTAAAAGGGGTTTGCGGCTCTCCTATATTGAGGTAGTGGTAAGAGCGGTTATGCTCTGCGGTCGTCATAGCGTGGTCATCTTGTTCTTCTTCGATGTCATCGTCGTCACCACCGTCGAAGAAACTGAATTGCGTGTTGATCTCTAAAGGCGGTTTCGAACTGCTGCAACCACGTCGTTTGGCGGGTCGCTTGAAAAGGGCCTCGAGAGGGTGGACTTCTGTGGCAACTGCTGGTGATTGGATGGGGTTGGAGTCTTGGCCTGGGGTTTTTTCTTTCCTCGTGGCGGGTGGATTTGGTGAGTCTTTGCTGGGAGTTAGGAGGATAGATGGGTGGGTGGTCGTGTTTATGGTGTTGTTGGTTTGTTTGACATGCTCCTTGTTCATGCTCTGCACCTTTTCGTCCTCCTCCTCCTTCCCTTCTTCGTCTTCTTCTTCTTCGCCACTTTCAGACGATGGAGATGATGAGGCTGAGTTGTTTCCACTGGATGAAGAGGTGGACGAGAGGCCAGAATCTGCTTCTTCGCCTTCTTCGGAATCGCTGTCTTCTTCTTCAGAGGAGCTTTCGCTGGAAGAACTACTAGACGAAGTCTCGTCACTGTCCACCTCGGCATGAGCTGGTCGCTGTGGGACAACCTTTTCCATCATTCCCTTCTTGCCTTCCCCAACCCCTTTCGACTCTAGCGGTAATAGTTTCGCTTTAGGTCTGTCCTTCATAACCCGTTTCTCCTTAACGTTGCCTGCGCGGTCTATCCAGCCTTTACCATCCACATATTCACTGGTGAGGCTTTCTTCTGGGGGGTTTTCGCCAGTCCTAAGGAAGCTCGGGATTGTGGTCAAGTTCTCAAACTCATGCACAACCACGTCCCCATTTATCTTGTCCTTCTTTTTCTTCTTCTCCGATGATTTCTTCTTCTTTTTTACGACGTCAGACCGATTGGGAGGCACAGTCGTCCGGAATAGACACTCGGGTTTTTCTGTATACTTTGAGGACTGAGACTTGCGCTTTTCCTCCTTCTTGTCTGACTTGCGACTGCGCTTGTTTTGACCTGCGGGCTCTGTCCAACCACGCTTTACATGTCTACCTTGGGGCAATTCGTGCCCATCGACAATATTATCTGTAGTTTTCTGCTCTTTCGAGGCTTTGTCTGGTTTGGACCGGGGTAAAGTGGAGGCAGTATCGGGGTGGCCGTCAGCGTCTGGCGCAGGGCGTTTGACCGGACGGGCTTCGTGGATCTTTAGTTTTTTCCCTTTCAAAATGGTCCCGTTCAGTTTCTTCACAACCTTCTCTGCGTCCATTTTAGGTAGGTTAACAAATCCGTAGTCGTTCTCGGGAAAGGTCTGGACGGAGTGGTAGGAAATATCTGTCGCAGCTTCAACCGCGGCGAGACGAAGGATGGATTGGAGGAGCTCTGGCGTCAATGGAGAGATATGAAGACGGGTCGTATCGGCGCTTGCCATTGCGACTTCATCCCTATAGATTGTGCCACCGATGCTGCTTGCCACTGCCGTGTCTTCGTTGCCATTTACTCCCGGCTTAATTCGCATGATATTGCAGGCGGCTAAAATAATAATGAAATAAATACACGCCGTGTATTGTAACTTACGCCTTGGCACATCTGATTTAGCGGTGAGTATTGAACTACCCAATCGGGACAACCAGCCTCGGCAGAATAACTAGGCCAAGCCAGTGCCAACTCCCACCCACCCATGAGCGAACATCTAGAGGTTAACATTCCCACCGCTAGCATCGCCGAGTTATCCGGAGCATCGGCTGTGACAACGATTGGCGCCTTTAACGTGTGTGGTTTCTCGAAGTCAATACTGCGGTTGATACAGCAATCCCATTATTGATACCGTGTGCTGTGCAGCGCTGCCCATCTCGCCGCTGCCGTATCTCACGCTGCTCTGCAGGCAAATCTAGAACTTGACCCATGACCTAATCCAACTGTATCACGTCTCCCAACACATTTCTTTTCTACTTCTACATACACTTGTTAAATGTTGAAGAACTTGTTCGCTCACATGGCCGGATTCTTATCCTTACTGTCCCAGCCATCGTCGGGTCTGATTACCCCTCCTATCACCAATTTCTAGGTCGTCACTGCAAGCTGCGCGCACTCCGCGTCCTTCTGATCGACGACGCGGGCTATCTCTCGGAAACAAGAGCTATTATACTATCCTGGACTTGAGTGGATACGCCCTGTCAAAACTGCATCCTGTGCTCCCTCCTTCGTTCCACGATGGGAAATACTGCCACCAAAGAGGCAAGGCCCCCGGTGGGAACGTCTGGGCGAAGTGGCCATGGACGAGGTTCATCTGGCGGTGCTGTGACGTTCGGAGGCCATAGTCGTTTTCATAATCAATCGGACGGTTCACATCCCGGAGGCTCACCAAGGCACTTCCGTGGGAGTCGACCGGATCTTTCGTTTCTCGGGATTGGACCAGCGGTTGAGAGAGACACAGTTGTTGAGCGAAAGGAAACAAAACAGGAGAGGGATGCTAGACGACTAGCAAGAGAACGAGCTGTAAGAATTAAGGAACGGGAACGCAGCATGAGAGAAGAGCACGTGGATGGTGGTTATTTGGTGACACAAGGAGTTTATACTGGTACTGAGGATTTCAACAAGGCAGTTGTGCGCCAATTAATGGTATGTATTTTTTCCCGTAATGTCTTGCGCCTTGCTTATTTATATAAAATTGATAGGTTTTATAATATATATCCATCCAACTGACATTCCATTTAGATTGAGAGAAGACTTGCCCCTTTTTGGAAAGGTTTAGAGGAGTTTTCAGAGTCGTGGACGGAGCACCAGCTTATGGCTGCGGCTAAGGGTCTTCCGATTCCCGCTCCTGACGAAATCCCGCCTGAATTAGAATATAAACTCACCCCGCCGCGGCCACCAGAGGAACGGGACTTACCAGAGCAAAATCTAAACAACTTGACGGTTCCTATAACCTCCAGGTCGCAGTCGTACAATTCCGATACCTCTTTCAGTGCCCATCCAGTATCTCCGTCCATTTCTCTTCAGCCTCAGCTCTCCCCCAGTGGTTCAGGCTCGCCAGGTCCACATCTCTTCCGTGGGCGAGCTAAAACTTTGGCCTCCCCGACGGCATCGTCTAAAAATAGCTCACTAGGCGAGATGTCCCCTCGAGAAATACAGCTTCCCAAGGACCCATTTGTCAATGGCCAACCAATTGAAGCGTACCTCTATAAGAACCCGATTGAATGTCCGATATGCTTCCTTTTCTATCCCCCATATCTCAATAGAACTAGATGTTGTGATCAATTAATCTGCTCGGAATGTTTTGTACAAATCAAACGCGCCAATCCCCATCCTCCCGAACATGAGCATCGGGATTCCAGCTTACCACCACCCCCTGATCAACCAGAGGGGCAATTGATCTCCGAACCAGCTGCCTGCCCCTTTTGCGTTCAGCCAGATTTTGGTGTTTCCTATGTACCACCCCCATTCCGAAGGGGCCTTAGCTATCTCCCGAGTAACGGCCTGAATAATACTTTAACCTCTCCAGCGTCGTCCACATCGTCCGTCGCGTCTAGAAATGCCAATCCCCAATCAATAACCACACGATGTCGTGCTAATTCGCTATCTGCAAATTCCCCAACTGTTATTACGACCGATAAGATTCGACCCGATTGGGCTCAAAAACTCCAAATGGCACGGGCACAGGCGGCCAGGAGATCAGCTGCTGCAACTGCGTTGCATGCAGCTGCGTATGTTAATGCAATGAGCAACCCCAGTGAATCTAGAGGTATGGCAAGCAGCAGTAGACGTATGTTGCGACGAACAACTGGTCATGGATCGGATAGTCCAACTAACATTGCCGGCTCTGTTGCTCTTTTGGCGGAGCGACAAGCCACTGCTGCAGACCGTGAAAATGATCCCCTTGCAGAAAGCACGTTTAATTTAGCGCCTGCACGCGCAAGCTCTCGACGAAGCCGGGTGGACGAACTTGAAGAGATGATGATGATGGAAGCCATAAGACTTAGTCTCGCCTCCGAAGAAGAAAGACGGAGAAAGGAAGAGAAAGAGGCCAAGAAAGAGGCCAAACGGCGAGAAAAGGAGGCTAAAAGGGCGGAAAAACTTGCGAGGAAGAATGCCCTTTACAGCAATAACCCTAGCTCTGTGGCTCTGGATGCTGCTGGAAATAGCACAGGTAGACCTGACCGCGAACCCCCGCTTCCTGTTACTGTACATGAGCCGTCGAACGACAAAGGAAAGGCTGTTGACCGTCCTGCATCCTCATCCGAACCTCTGCACAATGACCCCCAACCCCCTAGTTTACCCGCGCTACACATAAGGCCCTCTGAAGACGATGACCTTTCCTCCGTATTCGCTCCGTCATCAGCTTCAGCAGCAAATCGATCGCATCTCCGACATCTTTCGAGCACGTCATCTTCCAATTCATCGTTGGTCGAGTCTACCTCAGGGGAACTGATAGGATCCACCTCCGCGCCCAATTCCACTAACTCGGCTATTGAGCCCGTATTAAATTTCAGGAGCCTCGACGCTGTGATTGGCGACGAGGACAAAAGTTGTAACGAACATCTTGAGGGAGTAACGAGCGCGAAAGAGACTCAGCAACCATCCACTGATGATGCAACTCGTTCCTCCACCAATCCAAATCTAGAACCGGAAGTAGAGCCGGCGCCCAGCGAGCACGTGTCACCTGTGCAAGAAGGGCCAGGCCTCAATAAGGATGAAGATGGTTTTGGCGACAAAGAGCTGCAGTCGCATTCTTTGGAAATCACGTGTGAAGGTAGTGCGAACATGGAAACAACAGGCTAAAAGTAATTTCCGACTTGAATCCGAAACCAGATGATGTGATGGTAAATTGCCTCCCCTCATTATTTTCGGTCTCCGCTCTCCGAAATACTTCCCGCTCCCCATCTCCACCTCACTCCTCTCTCCCCGTCATCGTACCTTTTCTTACCGGATTTCCAACCTCCAACCTCCCATTCCCTCGCCTACAAACCAAGAACTTAACCTTGCTTTTATGTCACCGTTATGATAAAGACTGGAACGGACAACGTATGCATCCATTTATGTAAAGCACGAAGCCACTTGCCTTTTTGTCTTCTTGTTTAGCTCTGTTTCCCTCGTTTTCCCTGTATTGCCCCCCACACCCACCCACGCCTCCTCCCTTTTTTATGATATCTGTTGGTGGGTTTTGCCTTTTGTCTTATGTCTTCTGTTGTTTCATGTAGCAGCTCCCCAAGAGTATCTCCTTCCATTCCTTCTATTTGTTAGCTTTTCAATGTTCCATCCAGGTGGCAAAACTCCCGAATATAGTAGTAGCCTTGGTGCAGCCCGTTTCACTACTTTTTTCCTTCTCACGACTTTTTTACAAATCGCTGTTGCTCGGCTTGATGTTTTCTGACTTTTTTTTTTTTTTTTTTTTTTTTTTTTTTTTGTTCTCTTTCTGGCGACTTTGTACATGTACATGCATACAAAGATAGACACTGTCTGCTACTCTTGTGAATGGAAACTTAACCAGTTTCCTATCCATGTCTAGTAGTTTTCTATGTGAAATGAATTCATCACAGAGTGACTAACAAGCATCAATCAGAGTTTCATGAACTTATATGATGATAGCATTTACCCCAGGGTCAGACAATGAACTGAATCTCATTGAAATTTTCTACAATGGTATGATTTATATCAATAGTTCTGTGCAGTGAATGAATATCTTAAGTTATAATGATCAAATTTCAGTTATATAGAAATTAATATCTATTCTCTGCTATTTAAATTTATGATCCTTTTTTTAATATCATGACTCGTGTTAAATAAGTACTCTGCCAAGAAGTCTGAAATTCATGTCAAGTGGAAACAAGCCTGTATACCAAAAACTGAATCTATAAACATCTCAACCTTCCCTGGACTCCTTACTATGTAACATGTGGTTTCCACAGGGAGTGGGCCGATTTCACATCTCTCTACTTGATGATCTGGCAGTTTGTCTAATCTCTGAATTAATTGCCTCTGATATACCCGCGCCTCCATTCCAGCGGTATTAGCATATCTCTCACCTCTACTGATTCCAGTGTTTCCCCTCTCTCGTTTCCAACTGTTTCTCATTTCCCCAAAACACATATATAATAGAGCAGCAGAAACAGTTTCCGGGCGGCAAAATCAGCAGGTATATTTCCTCCTAGAAAAGATGGAGCCCAATAGAGATGACGTGAAGGGGTTTCCCTAAATTTGAATAGTAATAATTAATGATAACAACAATACATTAATGACTGCGAGGGCCATGTGTGTTAGTAAGATTGAGCGTCGAGCCAGAAGTTTGATGATGTGTTGATGATTAACATTAACTACGTTTCCAGGGGTGGAAGAAATTAAACCTTAATTTATGGTTCTTGTCAGCGCCGAGCCTCAACTCCTCTCAGTTTGTAGTTTACCTACATACATACAACACTCCAACCAACCCTCGACCGGGACCAGATGAGACCGGTTGACAGCCAGCGCCAAATACATGCAAGCAGTCATTTGGAAGCAAAGCCAACGTCTACTCTATAAGAACACGTACAGCGGGCACGCGGGACTGATGGACTGGTGGATTGACCATTGCCCGTCTACCTCCATGTTGATTGGCTTCCTTCTAGTGCTCTCCGCTGGATATCCGACAAAGAGCAGCACATCTCAGGGAGCGGCTGTCAAATAACGTTGGAATCTGGTATGATTCTCACACTACGCAACCGATTGCTATTCTGCCTGCCAACCTCTTTTTGCCTGTGTATCGGGTCCGCGCCCAGCGTCCTCCTTCAGCTCACCTGATAGCAAGATAATTCCACGGATATAGATATAGTTACGAATATATCCACCGCACCATTTTATCTTATTTCATATTTTGACATTCTTTTTTTCTTTTTCTTTTCTTTTCATTTCTTTTTTTTAAACAATAAAATACGACACGAGGTTGTCTTTAGAATATATTATGGCCCCCGATCTAAATTCTGTCCCCCCTTCGCCGCGCCCACGAGCCCCCTCCCGAACATTGTCCCTGCAACCTACAACCACCAACTTAACATCCGCTCAACCATCGCCCTCAGCGTCTCGACGAGTCTCGCAAGTCATGGGTCCACCTCCAGTTCCACATATTCCCACGTCTCCTGGTCTTACCGCTGGCGATAATGCTGGCGTGGGGATTGGTCCTGGTACGGGATATTCTCTGCTTTTTTTCCCTTCACTATTACACCCTTCACGCATGTTCTGCTTAGTGCTAACTATATCAATTCTCTTTTTTTACAGGTCCCATCCGGCACCCTCGTCCCCTTACGGTTGCTGATCTACACTTGGAGCTGGAGAAGGAGCAGGAAGCAGTGGTACGGAACTAAACTCCTCCTTTTCTATTCAAGAATCGTGACTAGCTGACCGATATCAAAATCCAGGTAAACCGTCTCACGCGAGAACTCACCCTCCTCCGCCAACAGACCGCCTCGGTGGCATCCACAGCGTCCTCGACGTCCACCAACGTCAATGACTCCTCAGATCCACATCACCAAACTCCGTCACACCGAAATCGATCCTCCTCGAACATTAGCTCACGCAGTGTCGCAGGAGCAATATCAGGAGTGATAGCAGGAGGAGTGACAAGCATTGCCCCCTCCCGTGAAAGGGATGCACCATCCTCCGCTTCACGCCCATCTCTTGGAGGAAGCCTCAGCCGCGAAGCTTCCGTAACATCACGCCGTCAGTCAGGAAACGCCTCCCCGTTGCTCTCGTCATCATACCAGCCGCATGCGGAGAACATATCGCACCACCACCACCACACCTCCAACCAAAACCCTTCCCATCCCCCAACCTACTCATACTCTCACCCTTACTCTCCCTCCTACCGCTCATCTTTCACCTCCCCCCCGGTCCCAATCCCTTCCTCCCAACACTCTGCCACGACGGCAGACCACGCACGATCCGGCTCCATGTCCTCCTCCGCGGGCATGTTATCAAGATACGAAGAGGCAGCCCACCATCGGGCAGAGTTAGACACTGTGAAACGGGAAAACGAGATGCTTCGCCGACGAATTCGAGAACTGGAAGCCGACCTGAAGGACTACCATCAGCCTTCAGCTCTTCCCGCGTCGCAACCTGCACAACAGCCGCGCACGGTAGAGAATGGCCCTGCCACAACTACTTCTAGCCTCACTACTGGGTTGAGGGCGACATCGCTTGCTGATGATTCCGCTGTCGAGCGGTGAAGAATCAAGTGCCTTGTGTGAAGCTGAATTTAAGACTTCTTAGAATGTAAAGACGCTACCGCTCAACCGATACACCACTCTTAAATATTTATGTTTCACTTGTTTCGCGGTATGACTATCATCATCTAATTGATTGCTGTTTTGCTGTTTTGCCGTTTTACAATTTCTTCATGCGATGCTCTTCCCGATTTTTCAATGCACGAAGCATAACATAACGACCAGCTCATTATTATTCCATGACACATGAGATCACATTGTCCTATCCTATTTCTTTTTAACAAAAAACTATCATTGCTCATTTTATTCCCCATTTTACTTTCTTTCAATTTCTTTTTCTTTTCCTTTAGTTTTATTTTCGTCAACCGTGGACGAAGAGACTGCTTTGTTTACCTGGCACATAATTGCTTTTGTTTGTTTGGCGGATCAACCCAGGCTGGGGTCGATGTAAAGATCAACTAAAAGACTAAAAACAGCTTGCCTCTGGCAACCCTCTCTTTTCCGAATACGAAGAACTATTTTACTCGATTTATTTAAGCTCTTAAACGAATGCCTAATTTTCACATGCAAATATCAACCAGAGCGACGTACTGCGTAAGTACCCCGCCAGTTTAAGCAACAACTGGGCAACTGGCGGGGGACCTCGGAGCACTGTGGCTTACCTAACTACCTAGTGAAGCCAAGGAAAGCCACAGCGTCAACGACGTCACTTGTGGCGCAGCTGCTCGCCCACCCCTCGATGACGACGATGGAAACAACATCCACGGCAAACTTCAAGACTTCGTCTTTTTTGCCTCGCGGTGTATATATAGCTGCAATAGAGTCTCTCCCCCGGGACTTGTTATTGCTCTGGAATTTTTCTTCGATCCTCTATATAAATCACCAGATAACGGATTCCTCTATACCTCTCTAACTCTACTTCAATCGGCAGATATAACTACAGCTCAATCTCATATTATCCTCAACCATGTCTTCGCATACCACCGTCCATGTCGCGGATATCTCATCCAAGACGACCGAGAAGGAAGTAAGGGATTTCTTTAGTTTCTGGTATGTATTATTATTACTCTTTGTCTCTCTCTATGTATGGAGCACAGATAACGAGTCTGAACCATGCGTCGCGCGAGAGCCGTGTCCCCAAACCTATCGCTGTTGTTAACACCTAAGCGACTAACATTTATATTCCAGTGGAAAAATCACCTCTCTATCAATCACTCCTAGCTCAGGAGAGCCAGATGCTACTCAATCAGCAACAGTAACCTTTGAGAAGGAGGCGTGAGTTTTCCCCTTGTAACTACCTAACGTCCAGTTTTTAAATCTAAAATCATCAAATGCTAAACATAACTTTCAGCGCTGCCAAAACCGCCCTCCTGCTCGACAACACCCAACTTGGCCCATCGTCCGTCAAAGTAACCGCAGCCGCATCCATTGACGATCTGACCGGCGCCAACCCTCACGCCGAATCCCCCGAATCAAAACCCGACACCGACGGCGTCCACGACATCGAACAAGAAGATAAACCCCGCTCCCGCATAATCGCCGAATACCTCGCCCACGGCTACGTGATCAGTGACCACGCGATCCAACAAGCCATCGCCCTCGACAAGAAACACGGCTTCTCTGCCCGCTTCCAGAACGCGCTCAACAACTTCAACGCCAAGTTCCATGCCACTGATAGGGCTAAGAATATCGATACTAGCTACGGCATCTCTGATAAGGCTGCCAGTGGCCTGCGCGGGCTGAGTTCGTACTTTGAGAAGGCCCTAGGCACTCCGACAGGGCAGAAGGTGAGAGATTTCTATCTGCAGAGTGATAAGCAGGTTAGGGATATTCATAACGAGGCGAGACGTTTGGCAGATTTGAAGAGTGGGAAGGGCGAGGAGGAGGGGGAGGCCAGCCATGATACATCCACTGAAGCCACGGAGAAGAAAACCACGTGAAGCCCCATTTGAGGCTTCAGTGTGGGCGTCACGGGAAAGGCATGATTGAGGAGGAAGTTCATATGTCGAGGCGGTTATTCCATTTTCTTATTTTTTATGTCCTTTTAATAGCTTTTGAAGCTCTTCTGCTTTTCCTGGGGTGATGACGTCAACGACCATGATATGGTACGATAACCGAATATCTCAAGGCTGGGACTTTCGATCCTTCTTTAGTTTCTTGACCTGTGTACTTCTAAATTCGTTTTCTTGCTTTCTGTTCCAGATATCTGCCTAACTCTCTCCTGTAGCTCGCTCTATTATTCACAAAATTGATATAATACATAACTCTTACTACAAAACCCATTTATCTCCAAACTGAATTCAATTCTCGGGAATGGTATGTGCACTGTGGTGTAGTCCTGGTTATATACAAATACACTGAAAATACTCACTCATCCCCTCCACAATCGCGCTCATTCTCGTTGCCATATTTGGTGCCCATCAATTCATTCACCTAAGACAATAAACTCATTGTTTTATACAACAGAAAGCAAAGATATAAAAGAAAGAAAACAAGAAGCCTCTCCCAACAACCCCTTCAAACCACCGTCCACCAACCTACCCCTACCCCCTCCCTTCCCTTCCCCCCACCACCACCACCAATATCCCTACGTACTATTCATATATCCAACCCAACCCCCCAAAAAACCTACTTCATCCCCACAACCCCCCTCTTCGCCGTCTTCGTCTCCGACTCCGCCTCAAGCGGATGCACCGGGTTACTCAGCAAGTGCACATTTCCCTCACTATCAACCATTGCCCCTGGCACACTCCCACTCCCACTCCCACTCCCACTCCCACTTCCACTTCCACGCCCACCAGCACTACCGCCACCAGCAGCAGTCCGTCCACTACTCGCCAGATTCCTCATGGGCTGTTCAGCATCCGGTCCATGGCCGTTTATGGCGGTCTGCTCGGCCTTCCCGGTCCAGCCTGGGACGTCGGATTCTTGGGGGCCGGTTTGGCGGGATGGGGAGGGGGATTGGCGGCCGGCGTGGTGGGAGGACATGGTTTGGGTTTGTTTTGGTGGGATATGTGTGTGTGTGTGTGTGTGTGTGTGTCCCGTCTGGGAGTGGTTTGCTTTGAGGATTATCCAGATAAATGTTGAAACGTATAAACTATATGTGGCGTTGTGGTAGTTGTGTTCTTTCGCTTTCTCCGTCGAGACGGGGTAGAAAGAAGATTTGGGACGGGAGGGAGTTATGTTTAGGTTTTCTTTTTAGTTTCTTAAAAAGGGCGATTATATGCTCATTTATCCAGATGGTATGCATTAAGTATATATATCTACATACTATCAAGTTTCCCCTCAAAAAACTTAGATAGGTTTTCGAAAAAAGGGGGAAAGGGGGTTAAGACATCATCATGACGTCTGTTTCTTCTTGTCCACCCACACCCCACCCACACCAACCCAATCAAGCATCAATGAATTGGATTCGAGGTAGGAAACACATGAATATGGGACCATTACGATGGCGATTTCTATTATTTGTTGGTTATTATATGATATCAGCTGTATTTGGTTCCGTTCTAAGTGGAAGGGGAGTTGAGTACATCTTCCAGTGCCACGCCAGCAAACTTGTCATAGATCGTTTTAAGGGAAAAAAGGGGCTGTGATAATATCCGTATCGTCTATAAGTCCCTCTCCGCGTATTGGTGTATACCTACCGACCTACCCTCGGATTTAACAGAGGAAGATGTCCGGCCAAGCGTATTTCATCAACGCTTTTCATAACATTTGGCCTCGTAGGCTTGAGGTACTTAGCCAAGGCCCATGAATACCTCAGGGCACGAATACATCCTACCCCTAGTGAAACATAAAAAGAAGCACATTTTCATTCCACACATCTAAAAGTTTTCATTTTGTAAATTGTTTCTTATCGTTGTGACATATATCTATCCGCCCTCCACCCAACTTATACCTTTAAGATTTGCATTTCATCAGACAATTCCCAGCCAAGGCTAAGAAAACGCAAAAGGCGAGTCGAAAGTGGAGTAGAAGAAGCGTGATTGACTAATGATATATATACATATATATATTGCTGCCTCCGGAGGCCGGTATATACTAAATGCGGGTCTAGGTGTAGGACACGAGTGAGTATTCAGGATTGGAGAACAGAATAAAAACATTGGCAAGCGAGGCAGTAATCTAATGTTTTCCAGTGTAGATCAAAACTGTCATAATATACCAGATCCTGTTGATGTTCGTGAGGCGTTTTAGGGGCTAGGGAAGCGGTCGTTGGGTTGGAAAGAAGCTCATAAATATCCAGGGCGTATTGCTAGAAGTTACTGTGGAGTAGATGGGGAAAATAAAACTAGGAACTAACCAAGAAAGATCAAAGTGCGATACGAGAGGGGTGAGAATGGCTAGAGAGAGTAACGAGATGAAGAGGGTGAATTGGGGGGCAACGAACAAAGGAGAACTGAAATAAAATGGAGAGGGAAAAAACTGCATTTCTGAAGCCGGAAATAACACCCACGCCCACGAGTTAGAGTTGGTAACCTTTGCGTTAAGAAATATAAAGATAAAAGGAAGAAAATTCAAAAGGGTGGTTCGTAAAGTAGGGGAAAATATAATCTGTTCATTCTGAGAAATTCTTGTTCCCACCTAGATGGGTGGGGGAAGTGGTATATAGGTAGATCACGTTAAAGATGCGGCAGGGGAGTTGATATGATAAACAAATAGAAATTAACAAGGCTTTTTCATCTTTTTGGCTCTTTTGTCTCATTTTCATTTCGTTGTCTTTTTCTGTTTCTGGTTTTGTTGCTGGTGTTGGTCGGCAAATGTTTATGCGCCACCATTTGCTTGTGCTGCGGCGGCTGCCGCTGCCGCTGCCGCAGCATTCGCATTCTCAAAATCCAATGCCTTCGCATCGGCTTCGTTGACAACGGTCTGGATGATTTGTTGCTCTTCGGAATTGAGGATTTTGGTCAGGTTTTCGTAAAGGGCGGGCTGTTCTTGTTGTAGATCTGAGGGTGAATTATGTTAGCATCCAACAAAATTAATCACGAAAGCAAAGGCAGGAGAAGAATTGAACTTACTCATCAAAACATTCTTGAACAAGCTGTATGGCTCAATTTTATCCAACGGACTCTCAAGCAAACTCTCCTCATCAAGGTCATCATCATCTTCGGGCATCGCTGAGTATTTCATAGCCTGTGAATTGAATGTTAGAGTTTGCTAAAGAATAATTTTAGTCAAAAAATTGGTCAAAAATCTTACTTCTTGGTTTAAAAACTCAACGTAAGATTGGCTCTCATCGTCAAGGTCTCCATCAGGGCCTTCGTCTCCATCTTGCGCTGTCCACTCTACTTCGCCACTCCAATCATTGGTTGGGTCGTCATCATCATCATCCCCTTCATAGTAGCTTAAATCAACATGACTGGTAGCTTCTTCGCGATCTAGGATTGGTCAGTATATTGGCTACGTATAACCAGGTCGAAGGTAAAGGGTGAACATACGCTTCAGGGCAGCTGGAAGGGTCTGGAAAAGCTTGCTAACCCCTTGGAGAAGGCGAGGCCAGCCCGGTTGCACGCTTGCGGGTACATCATTTGCTTGTAAGGTCAACAATGCGCTGATGGCAACGATGCAAAGCTTCTTGTCATGGACCCTATTAAACAAGTCCATATTGGAGAACCAGGTACTGAAGAATTTATTGGTCCATTCCTTGGACTCCAATACCTGAAGCGATAATAGAGGATTATAGTATATGGAATTGATAACCATCTCCATAAGGTGAATCCGGTAAGATTTCGCATGTGTCTCATTCGAACTCAAGACCGCCATCGCTAATGAGATGAATGTTGGGATATATTGGTCGACGTGCCCTCGAAGGTTAAGCATCAGAGCCTCTGCAAGTTTGCACCCACAGATTCTATCAACACCTCCAACCTTCTCATCGTGGAAAATATCTTCAACCATGCCAACGAGGGCTTGAAGGTAAGCAGGGTTTTGTGTCAACGTAAGCGAGCCAAAGGTGACAAAATTATCCAAAGCAGGCAGCATATCTATAAAACGGAATGTTAGCTGGGCAAACGCTTAGCCCGTGGAAATTACTATCAACTAACCTTCGAGATACAATTCCGCTCCGGATTTGAAAGTCTTGTGCATGAGGACAAAAGCTTGCCACATCGTTGGAGAGATGGACTTGGCAGCGAAAGTGCAAGAATCGACGATCTCAAAGACCTCAGTATACAAATCTATACAGTTTGCAGTTAGCGTCAGGTCAATCAAAGCGGACAGAGGAAATCTAACCATAGAGTTTATTTTCAAGAGTAATTGTGACAACAGGCATCAATATGGTTTCGAGGTGCAGAAGAACATCTGGCGTGCTTTCCAAGGTCAAAATGAGCGTTCCGATGGTTTGGAGTACTCCCAAGGCGGTGATGCTCTTGTCATCTAGGAAATCGCCGTAAATGTCTTCATCGTCTTTGGAGCTATTTTTTCGTTCATCTAGCATTTCTCCAATAATACGCATGTAATTGTCTCTCAGCTGCTCGCACAAAGCCACCGCAAAAGGAGTGAGTTCCGCCGAGAACGCCTCCACGAAGTCTTCCATGACGCTTGCTAGGGGATCCAAATCAACTTCGTTAGAGAGCTTGAGGAGTTGTTGCATGATTTGTGGGATGCTAGTCTGCATGGACGTTCGGATAGGGTCATGGCGAATAAGTGGCTGGAGGGCAAGCGCGGCTTCTACCCTCACAGGAAGCTCAGGGTCGGCCAACGCATCCAAAATATTTCTATAAACAACCATGAGATTGTTGGTGTCCTTAAAATCTAGCTCGCTAAATTTTTCCAAAGTTTCGCAAGCCCGTGCGCGGAGATAACCATGGGGGCTTTTAAACTCCGGGAAAACGTGGCGTACGAAAAAGTACTCGACTTGGTCGGCAATAGGACTTTTCTTTCCCAAGATAACGGAAGCCAATGTACCAATCATGCGAAGGGCGCCCTCCTTTTCGCGAGGAAGTTTTTGTTCATCCGGAGACGACTCGTACTTGCTCACAACACCGTTAATGAAACTCAAAATGGAAAATGTTTGCTTCTTCCGGCTTTGTGTGAGTGCTACGAGAAAGTTCGTTGCTGCAGAGTCCGGTGCAGAAACCTCCTCATATATGTTCAACTTGCGATGCAGGTATTCAGAAGGATCCGTCTCGAAAAGTTCAATATCTTCATCGGTCTGGCAGAGGACTGGGAAAACCAGGTGCTGAATTAGATTATCCATGTGGGGTTTCAAATGGTCCCACGTAATCTTTGGCTTGACACAGTCTTGCAGAAAGACCAATGTATAAGAAAGCGCAGGCTTGCTTAGCCATTGGCCATTAACCCACTTATCGATTTCTCCCAAGTAGCCTTTCAGAATCTCGGGAGCAAATGTCGAGATGAAAGACTTCGCATATTGTGCATATCTGTTCGAGCCGGGCTTCCCAAGCAGATTGGGGTTACCATACCTACCAAAGTATCACAAATAGTTAGATTACCTTCCCCTTCAAATATAATTTCCCATGAACATACCGAACGAATAGGCGGTTCAAGTTGGCATATGAGCATTTTTTGGCCTTCCACCAATGGTTAAGCTCCCGCTCATCTACGTCTTCTAGCATAGAACTCGCTGGAGGGATTTTTCCAATGACTCTCAAGAATAGAGTACACCAATCCACCGTTGCTTGATGGGTCATTAGGAAACTTGGCATTTCAAACTGCAGTTAACAAAAGCGTTCCACGTTAGTAAAAGACTCCTGGGATGCTCAAAAGTCCCCGCGCTTTTAGAAATAGAAGTTTTCATAACCCACATAGGTGGCATTCTTATATGCCTTGACAACTGTCCGTAGCATCTCTCCCGCTTCGATGCTTTCTTCATCGACAAGTGAAGAGCCAATAGCCAGTAATCGCGGGAATGAAATTTCTACCACTTTCTCGAAATCCCCCCTCTTGTCGCTCGCTTTGAATCTGTAAACACGACATATTGCCAACAGACACTGCAAGCCTGCAAAAACTGAGTTTGCGTCGTTGGTATTGAGTAGCTGAAGAGTCACGTCCATATAGTCATGCCATTTTGAAGGGAAATCGTATTGGAGGACCTTGGATAGGATCGGGGCCAGCTGAGATCGAACGGCAGGTGGGGAGGACGCGAGCAAGGGGATAATACGGGCTCGGAATGGAGCTCGATCTTCGTCTGGGATAGCTTTATGAATGGATTGTTCTTCGGCAGGGGCCCATCCTCGAGTAACTCGATTTTTCAGATACACCACCGCTACAAGAGGCGAACAAGAAGGGATTTGAGTCAGCAATGCGAAGGACAGAAAAGTCTATGAAAATGTGTGTATATACATGACTCGCCAAAAAGACGAGACAATGTTATGTGGTATTTGTTCCGTATAGCGTACGTAGATAGAAAATATGGCGGGGGTTGGTTCCTTACTAGACAGTCGAACTCCATTGTCCTGCTCTGCCTGCAAAATATCCAACAGCGCATTTACGAATCCAGGCTGCTCCTCTGCCTAATGGTAGAAAATAGTAAGCATATTATCAGCATGCATATATAAACAGAGACGCCGACTGAAATAACATACGAATTTCAGGTCCGCCTCTGCCTGTTGTCGAGAGTCGGCATTGGTGTTGAGGGTGGCTTGGATCCGTTCCCGGAGCGCTGCGACATCCATTTCGCGCTTAAAACAACCCCCAGCGCCAGGCCTGAGGAGGGTAGATCTAGAATTCCAGGTTGTGACAAAAATAGGCCGTGGCCTTGGTGCAAGCTGTGCAGCGTCGAGTGGGTGATTGGGGCGTGGAAAAGGGTGTAGTGATGGTAGTGTTTGAGGAGAGTTGGCCTGGAGAGACGAGATCAGTGGGGGGGTCGGTCACGGTTTTAAAATTGAGTTAGTTAGCATGGATCGACTTTTTTTTTTTTTTTTTTTTTTTCCCTTTCTTTCTTTTCTTTTTGTACTTTTCAATCCACAAAACCCTCCTACTTTATTTTTCGGAATACTCCGCCAACACCAAAAAGTCATATAAATACAGAATCGAAAAGCGGATACAGCCATTCCATTCGATATATGTATGTGCCTAGGTAGGCTCTTCAATGCCAAACACCCCAACAGACTCTAATGTAAACTATCGAGCTTGGTTCTACACACAATGTGAGTGTGTGTGTATGTGTGTCTCCAGGTCCAGGCACATTCCGACACATAAATATTCAACATAGCTCCAGAACCGTCCTTTGTCATTTAAATCACAGCCGCAGCACCAACTTTCAAAGGATAAAATTTTGATGAATCACTTGGCCAGCGATCAGTTAATCACCGCGTTCTTTTTTACATGTAAAGAGATGCCGCGAATATTACGTCGCGCTTAATCAGTTCCTGTGCCTGTTGCATCTTGCTATACAGCGTTGGATCGCCCACCAGCTTGGCTGCACTCTTCACCTCCCGACACGTTTCGTCCAGTCGTGTGATAACACGTACAATTGTGCCTTCCATCACATCAGTCAAGTCTGTGATCCGGTTGAATGACATTCCCCGAGCCCACTCGTACACCACCTCGACAAGGCTGAATCGTGGCTTGCTCGCGAAGTCGTTGGAGTCTTCGCTCGAGAGGATCACTTGGTGTTGGATTTGAAAGTCATTTACCTTTTCCGATATCTTGATTATGGCCTCTTTCCCCTTTTCAAGCCGTGGTGTTAGCGTTGGGACACTCTCGGTCTTCTCCTGGAAGACGAAGGCGGACAGCAGTGCAACAATCTCTTCTGGCTCATATTCTGCAAACACATTTTCTAGAATCAATTCTGTCAGGACGAGTTCGTCCGCTGAATGGATCTAAACATGGATATGTTAATTATTATTTTGAAAATGCTTTATTTGTGGGTCGCAGAGAAACATACCTCACAGGCAACCTTCCCCTTCAATTGGACTCGAGAAGCCTCATCAACGAAACCAAGATCTTTCAAGACCAAAATCCGCTGCTCGTAGTCCGGTAGAAGTTGCAGATTTTGATCCGACATTAACTGTTTTAACTGTGAAATGTTCTCTTTTACCTGCCATTCGTCATGTTGCATCTCAAACTACCCAAGTGTCAGCATTGTCCAATCAGGTTAATTTTAGCCAAGGAATCTGATAGTCTTCAAACTTACATGTTTCAGAAATTCTGGGCACTGCAGACACTCGCTGGATTCGACGATAGCGACTTGTGCCTGCCGCTGGTTAAGAATCTCGACTATTTGAAGTTCCTTGACTCGGTCCCATGCCAATTCGTCCCATGCACTGGCCTCCCACAAGATCCTTTTGTGCAACTTTCAATGACTCTGCAACAGGTTAGCACCAGGTCATTATAGAAAATTGAAAAAAAAAAAAAAAAAAAAAAAAAAAAAAAAAAAAAAAAAGATTTGCCGAAATGGGGCTTTCCTACATACCTTTCTTAATATTCAGATACCAAGTTGGGCCACCTATTTTTACAACCGTCGTGGTTACACATTCAAGGTCCTCAAGTGGAATCTTGTAAGTCTTCAACACCATCTCGTTAGGATTTGTTGACAGCGGCGAAAATAAATGTCGAAATGCTGGTAGATACGGAAGGATATCACTTGGATGCCGGCTCGCACTGATTGGGCCGAATTCGAACACTTGTAGGCCAAGGTTTGGCCCGGGAGCCATACCATCGCGAGCGAGCATACCAACTGTCCTGATGCCGTTCTGCAGAAGAGAAGCCAATATTAGTAAATCTTGCCAACTAAAAATTCAATGTATATTCCTCACCTTTTTAAAGACAACCACGGTCTTGGCGGAGAATAAGCGTCGCCCCACAGGAGATGCATGTAGGTTGATATGAAGTTTGGTAGTTAGCCGCGAATACTCCACTGCGGCTTCGTGACAAGTCTCCATGTCGATATCACATATGGCGCATGGCTCCCGTTTTATTTTCTCCAAACTAGCTTCGGACAGTTGCACTTGTTTCTGGTGCTCCGGCAGGAGTGCTTGGGTTGCATTTTCACTGAAGCTTCGCTTGATCATCTCTTCAATCTTCAAGGCTTCTACCCGCAGGAGATTTAATATCATGTTATAGGTAAGTCGGAATTGGGATCGAAGCTTGGTCGGATCGCCTAGAATCATGCGTCGTAAAGTGCCGGCGGGAGGCGCCTCATCCTTGCCAGACGCAACAATTATTACAGATCCGACTGTGTCAAGCCCACGTCGACCCGCTCTCCCTGCCATTTGGGTATATTCGCCTGGAAGGAGATCTCTAAATGACCGACCGTCATGTTTTCGGAAGCCAGAAAATACGACAGTCCTCGTCGGCAGGTTCAGACCCATTGCAAAAGTTTCTGTAGCAAACAGCACTTTCACCAAGGTTTTTGCGAATAATATTTCAACAATTTCCTTGATGATAGGTAAGAGGCCGCCATGGTGAACCCCAATACCTCTACTCAGCAGCTCCCTAACCCGACGAATTTGTGGAAGTCCTCTATCTTCCGTCTTCAGCCTTGCCAGCGACTTTTCAATGATCATATGGATAGTGCTCTTTTCCGATGCCGTGCAGAAATCCTGATTAGATAAAGAATCTGCATTTTCCTCGCATCTTCTCTTGGAAAACACAAAAATACACGCGGGTAACAGGTTTTCCTTTCGCAAGTGTTGTACAAGATGGACCCAGATATTTCGGTCTTGTGCAACAGTCGTGCGCCCACCGCCTCGGCCTGTTCTAGCGATATTACCAGTTCCACGAGACACAGGTTGGCCTCTGCCGCGCTGCTGTGCACTCCCTCTTTGTTGGGTGCCTCCACGCTGAGCCCCACCTCGTTGGTTGCCACGTTGGGGTTGCCCACCACGGCCCCTGTCTCCATGACCGCCTCTATTGTTGGTATTGGACTGGGCTTCCGCCGCTTTCTGAGCACGAAGTTTGTCTCGCCCGGACAAAATATCATCCGCTTTCTTCCATCCCTTCTCGATGAAATTTTTGTTTGAGTCGACGATTTTGTGCATGCTTTTATCCGCCCACAGGTAATGCTCTAATGGGACCGGGCGCTTGGGTGTCGAGATGACATAGATATCCTTCTTCTTGGTCCGGCCAACCCAAGAGGCAAATTCGTATGTGTTTGGAACCGTAGCTGAGAGCAGAATTAGAGTGACGTGTTCCGGTAGCATAATGATGACTTCTTCCCAAACCACGCCTCTTTCCAGGTCATTTACATAGTGCACTTCGTCAAAAATGACAAACTCTACATCGCGAATTAGATCAGCTCCGCGGTAAAGCATACTCCTCAGAATTTCTGTAGTCATGATCAAGCAGCTCGCCTCGGGGTTAATCTGGACGTCTCCCGTCAGGATTCCAACATCCTCAAAAGTAGTTCTGAAGTCGCGGAACTTTTGATTACTTAAGGCTTTAATCGGAGAAGTATAAATTGCTTTCGTCATGTGTTTGGCAGCGAGCGCAATCGCATACTCTGCCACAACCGTTTTTCCAGCAGATGTGTGAGCGGCAACGAAAACAGAATCTCCATTTTCCAGGTGGTAGACTGCCTCCTTTTGAAAAGTATCCAGTTCGAACGGCCATTCCCTTGCCATATCCGGTACCAGGTCGTAAAAATTTGTAATCTCCTTGTTGATATCCACCACATGAGCCCACTCTTTACCTCCTTTTTTCGAAGTAGGCGCAAGGAGCTGGCCCCTTGGTTCCAAGGCCGGGTATTCAACGGGTAGTAAAGAATCGATATCTTCTTCCTCTTCATCACTGGATAAACCCTCTTGGAGTTCTTCGGTGATTTGGAGGTTTCTATCTTCACCAGGAGAAACCCCCTCCTGCGTCGGTTCATCCGTGTCTTTCTCCTCCTGTTCTAACGTGTCTTCCACGTCTCGTGCATCACCCTCATCATCCTTGCTCTTAGTCTTCTCGAATTTCGATCCCCGGGAGAATCCCGGGGGAACCTCCAACAGCCCACCTTCCACGCCAAAATTGATGATTCGGTCTAATCTCGATCCTTTTCCTCCCGCAGAAGTCTGACGCCCATCATTCTGAGCATCAGACTCAAGTTCAGCAATCGCTTCCACGCCTTCCAGCCCGCCTGGTGCAAACGGAAAGAATCCGGCAGCGCCGCGGACGAAATCAGCACGGCCCGCAGGTCGTCTAAGCAATGACGTAGAATTTTTCGCTGTAGCGCTGCTCGCAGGAACAGTTACCTCGCGATAACCAGTGACCCTGCCTTCCAGCCCTTCCCGCGTAAACCGAATGATTGTGCGGGTCTGTGGTGGTGCTAGTTCAAAGAGGTTCGTGTAGTCTACAGGAACTTCCCATCGCCTAGATTAAAGCCATCAAAATTTGCGATAAAAAAATACAATGTCCTATGGGGAAGGAACATACTGTTGCAACTTATTCAACCACGGGGTACTAAACCGAGGAGAGGGGTTCAGAAACTCCCGCTCCAGCTCTGCTTTCAGCTCCTCATCAGATTGGACCTCGCATCTTCGGGACCGCGATTGAAATCTTGTCCCAGCTTCCCTCTCTCCATTTGCGAGTTCTTCATTTCCTGCTCTCGTTATCCAGACGTCCAGTGTATCATCTCCGGCCAAATTATTTGCCGCAGTGTGAACCTGCTGGACAGCATCTAGTAAACCTCGGTCTTCTGCCATATTTGTCAACTTTCCCACGCCAAGGGTGTAGGAAATGATGTGGCAGACGATGCTAAGAAAAAATATAAACAACTCCAGATAGCATGTCAAGTTAAGTTTATCGTAAACTGCATCGGATCATCTTTTGAATGTGGGGCTTCAAAGAATGATGTTCCAACCTTTACCTCCCGCTTCGGCAAAGATTGATTAACGTTACCGGCGCAAGATTACGAGCAATGTAGTTATGAAATATATCGCGATCAACTTCAAAGCTTTCCTGTCAGCCCCTTCTGTTTCCCAGTGCAGCATTGAATGGAATTGTTAGTGGGAAACCTCATATGTGAATTCCTGAGACCTGACTAATCTGGCGCTTAACAGCCGCGCTTGGCTTGCTCTGAAACTTTAATTTATTTTCAACCTCGGACCCGAAATAAGGGCGTGACCAGTCTTTCATAATGATTGATTTTAGAGCGGTAAAAAAAAGTGGAGCGGCCGGCAAGCTCTTATATACCTTGTTGGGGATCATTACTCCTTCAAAAATGTTTCGCTTGAATGGGAGCGGCCTAAAAATAACGCTAGTTCTCCGGTGAGCTGAAACAAGTCACTGCTTGTTCGAAAAGTCAATCAAGTGAATGATAAGCCGGCCATTTGAGATTTTCTAACGAATGTACATACTCCTCGAATGGAGACAGAAAGACACTGAGGGCGACAATGTGACAGGCCGGAGAACCATTTCTAGTGATAACAATATGGAAGCGACAATATAGTAGACAAAGGAAAAAACTCCATCCCACAGTGATTTTCGTAGTCCAAAATCAGACAATGCCGAACCCAAAGCACCAAGTGCCAACAACCACCCGGCAGACTGCTCTGAGGCAATGGAAGGGAAAAAATAACAATCAGGGATTGATCGTATTCTGTATCCGAGGGTAAACCCCCAACAGGGCCTCCCACAGATCTGGGTGCCGCGTCGCAAGCGCTTCCGGCTCCAGCCCCATAGCCATAAACATTGTATCCACCCCACTGATCACCGGTGTCATATAAGCTTTACAGATCTGAAATCCAGAGAGGAACGCGTATGCCATGATAGCGGGTGTGAATCTCCCACTTTTGTTGAAGTCCGGCACCGTGTATCCCAGCTCAATGTAAGATACAAAGGCACAGAGATACCCAACAAAGAGAGACCCCATAGTAATAGTGGTTCCAACAATACTATCGTTGACAAGGGCGTCGATACCGCGGTATTCCATCATTTGCCACGTAAACTTAGCGGCTGATCCATAGGGTTTGCCGTACAGAGCCATATGGGAAAATGCATATCGATTGAAAGCTAGGGTCATCCGTCGAAGTGAGCTCATAACTCCTCTTACAGCATGAGATGTGGCTCTCCCAATGATAGTTTGACCGATAGCTTCTTCCTGTCTGAATATGGTGCATAGTTGGCGGAGCATATCAACCACCCCGACGAACAAGCTCCCAAGGCAAATGCTACCAAAGGAGTAAGTGATGGCCCGTCTTGAAGCGCCTCTCAAAGGTCGCTTTGGCATCTCGTCAGAATTACCACCATAAAAATACCAGGAGCCATACACTCCAGCGACTGTCGTGTGCATGGTACTCTTCATCCACTCGGTAAACCAATAGGCGGAAAGCACCATAAAAGTCATTAGTGTCTTCGTAACAATGGATTTACATCTGAGATTATGACAAAGTGGGCTCGCCTTGTTTTCGTCTGGGTCGAATGCAATATAAGTCGTGACGAGCGTCACGAAAAGCAACGCGGAAAATCCGGTAGTAAGGATACTTCCAATAATACTTATCAGATTCACCGACCCATGCTGTCTGGCCACAGCGGCTGACGATCGAAGCAAGACTCCCGTGAAAGGGATTCGTGGTATCCAGTTCACGAAGTAGATAATCGCGAGGAGTCCAAGGCCAGAAAAAGTGCCTCCGATAGCCCATTGGCGCCTATAGAGATATACAGCACCGGTACCAAAGCTCGCACTAACATTCAAGAATCCGGTGATCCAAACCAACTTATCCGGCAAAAATAAGAAGATCGAAAAGTATAGCCCTGACGCGGAAAAGGCGAGTGGTAACGCAATGCTGAGAAGCAGTAACACATTCAAATCTAGCGCGATGCTATTCGATGGACCATTGACGGTATGGCCGTCAAAGTCGACGCCTTTCATGTATCTGTCGATGACGAAGGAGGAGAGGGAAATGAATGCCAACACATTTAATAGAAACTAACGGGAAGAAAGAAGTGTCAATGTTAGCAAAGACCCGCAGGTCAACTTATAGCAACAAAGAGAACGAAAAATTGGTAAACCTACGAGGACGCTTGCCCATACGTCATGATACTCCTTTTTGTACAGTTTGAAAACCTCTTTGAAAGTCGGATCGGGCGGTCCATCAGCGTCTTCCTTCTTTTTCCGACGAAAGAGTCGGGCCAGATTGATTTGTTGGAAGGTCACCGTAAGATTGCCCATGGAAAATTTTAAGGCGGGCCATGAGATGGAGATGTTCTTTTTCTTTTTACCACCACCGTCTCCTGCAGCAGTAGCATCAGCACGAGGCTGTTCATCGCCATTGTTTGCACCGACATTGTCCTCTTGGACTGGGGTTTGGGACATTGTTTAAAACATGTGTATACACAGAGTGGTATCCAACGTGGCCAGGGGGATAAGAGATATCAATTTATCAGCAAGTAGCGCAGAGTAAGAAATGCGCCAAATAGCATGTTATGCTATATACTATAGATATTGATGAAGTGTGATAGAGTGTAAACGCGGAAAGTTAAAGAAAAAAAAGCTCTGTCTTGCGCAAAGTCTTATCCCATTTCGTACCTACGATAGGCAGGTTCCTCATGGTCATATCGGGTCGACGTTTCCGGTTTGGGTATAGATAAATATAATAGAGAAAAGATCTTATTAGGAAATTAGGAAAGTCCAGCGTATATAATTGGAGGAGGTCGTTCCTTCCCATCAAATCCGATCCTTATCCCCAGCGCCCAGATGGATCAGCTCAAAGTCTTACTCAGGATTCAAAGCCTCAGTAATCTGCATGGCGCATTCATAGCTACCGTCCGGCCTAGCGAGTTCTCCCCAGCCTATTAACCAAGGGTCTGGTCGCGTCTTCAGTGGCATGGTGAGTTCACTACCAATGTATTTGCCGTTGGGAGGGTAGGCCCACTTCCACCTGCTGGTGTGAAGTTTTGCAAGGAATTGCTGGAAAAGAATATTACATCTGTCCGACAAGTCCAAGGTTCACAAAATGAGGTGACGATGGCAGTATAGCGGATGGGCAAGCCAGTTGGTAAGAAAGGTTTCACATATCCTCACCGTTGCTTGAAGCAGGCGAAAGCGAGGGTAGAAGATTGGCTGAGGCCGTTGTGGCCGCTAGGATTCCGCAAGTTGCACCAGATGAATAAGGCAATGTATCTCGATGTTGCATGGAAATCAATATTTAATAAGCGAACGGCATTCTGGAATCCCTTTGACTAGAGAGAGCAGATAAACCGGACAACTTCCAAATATTATTCGCGCCCCCGACTCAAAACCAAGAATGGGCAGAAATATCTAGTCAGATTTCGCCTCAAAAATCACCCGCAAAATACTCCAACTGTCTGTACGAGGAAGTCCAAAATGACAGTGGATGTTCCGAGCTCAATATCATAAACGGGGCTTAAAGAAACTTGGCTCTGCAGCGGTCTGGAACGGGCAATAGTTATGGAAAAACCCAGCCCCATACACGAGAGCAAGGATTGCACCGAATAATAATCTAGTTACTCACGCCATGTTAGAAGCTTCATTGGTGTTGCGAGCCACAACTTGACGTTGAGGTAAGTAATAACATGTCTCTGGAATTATAAGGGGAATATCCGAATCACTTGGCTTCTAGCGAACTAATTGGCGCGCGTTTAACTAAGTTAGTTGACTAAAATTAAGCGGGTGCCCGAAATGGTAATTTCAGACCTCACCTCGAACATGGCGGTACTGGAATCATGAATAATTAATAGGTTGCGGTTCGAAGACCATGATTCCAGGTCTTCATTTCAGCGCATTATATTACGAGGGAAGTATCAGCATAGCCAAACAGTCAATTGAACATACATAGATATGTCAAGTTGTTTAACAAAGAAAAGAATGACAAGTACAATTTTAAAAGAGAAATGAAAAGCGAAAACCCATATTTTGAGAGTGATAATAGATACAAACCCAACCACCACAATATGAAGGGAAGAAGAAAAGCGGAATCCAAGATAAAAAAACCAGAATTAACAGAAATAAAGGTAACAGTAAGAACTGGGATTACCCAGGAATTTAAATGACAAGGACAAAAAAGAAAGTTTGTTGTTTCGCACTGGTTTTTGTGTGCTTGTTGGCTGATGGCTCAAACAAACTCTCAAGTGATATATATACATTCAAATTATCAATTTACAAAGAAACGAAAAATAAAAGAAGAAGGAAGGAGAAGGAAAGTAAAGACAATACCAAAGAAAAAAGGGAATTTCGAAATTCATTGAATAGATGCGTTAGCTGCTTGTTAGTCAAGTAAAGAAACGAGCAAAAGAAAATGAGAAAAACTAGACCACGCAAAAGAACCAAAGGCATACAAACAAAAAATCGAAAATAAATAAAAATAAATCATGGAAGGCTGAAAAGACGCCCAACCTCCAAGCCCTACCATTGTGTTAGTTTGGGGTTACATAATTGACGCTATATCCGATCCCGCTCGCTTCACTCCAGAAAAGAGAGAAAAAAAGAAGAATGAAAGATAGAACGTACAGAAAACAAAAAGTGGGAAAGGAATAGGAGGGACAAGGTTCTGCTATATTCATCAGAACAACAGAAACTACAGGGGACAATGATGCTCAGCAAACAAACCGTTTATTTACAAGGGAAAATCATATGCGAGGGGTCATATAGTCACTGTTGGTATTTTAGCAAAATAGATAGAATTTCGTCATCCGTGGTGAGTAATAGGGATCGTGCTTCGTAATTGATTGATATTTGCGCTTCTTCTCAATGGTCGACTCAAAAATATCGCGTGGAAAATGATAATAAACGAAGATGTTTGGAGGGAAGGGACGAGCGCGGGGAGTAGCAGGTGGGCAACATCGATAGAATGAAGTGTTTGACACTCGCTTGGGTAGGCAAGGTTGGAACTGCTTCGTTCCTATGGCATGGTTGTTTATCCTTGCATTTTGATTTTGAAATTTATTTCTTCATCTGCATGAAAATCCAGGAAACGTTTTTCGATCTTGGACGTTGAGCTCGAACTGGAAGATTCCCTGCACAGTTCCGATGAACCTAATAAATCGTAAACGGCTCAGTTAGTTTTCCGAGTATCCGTATCACAATATATTGACACCCCATGTGTGAAATATTATATTTAACTGTATAGCAAACTTACAAGGTCCGCCCATCGGCACCCCATCCAATCCCTGCAGTCCCTAGTCCCCGCGCCCGCTCGCGACTGGTCGACTCAAAACTCCCACCATCAGCAAGCGCTGTGCGAACCCAACGAGGTGTCCGAAGCTGGCCTACTTCCATGCGACGACGATATTGACCTAGCGTTGCACCCGTCCCCGTCCGCCGATTTTCCTCAACCGCCGCCTGTCGTCGTAACCGGGTCCGCTCCTCGTGGGTTGAGATCCCCGTTTGGGTCTCTTGCCGTTCTACAGTGGGGTCTATGCGGTCTGCTCTTCGTGGGATGGACCTCGTGCGGTGCAGGCGCATTTGTTGGGCTTGGATGGCTAGGGGTGCGGCTGGAGCGTCGGGCGAACGGTTAAATAGTACTCGTGTGCGGGGCAGTTGCCGACTGCTTGTGAGGCCATTTGCGCTTCCATTACCATTTGGCTGTTCGCTGTCAGTGGATTGTGCTGTGCCGCTTCGGCCAGCGGCATTTGAGCCGTCGGCATCGGAAGGGTGATCTGGGGGATGTATAAGTGTCGGCGACTGCGTCCACCTTAATGTGATAGCTGCCGGGTTGCCTCCATGGGCGGGCAGCAATGCAGGAGTTAGCCGCTCGTTGTGTGGTTGTGTGATCGAAGCTGGGGGGCGTGGTGGTGGTGGTGGCGGTTGAACTGTTGCTCGTACCCGCTCTAGGTGGCGATCTCCACCATAATCAGCGCGTAAAATCCCATCAGCAAGTCCCGGAGAGGACACGCGAGGAGAGCGGTTCCCAGTGTGTGCTTCCATGAGCGACTCGGGGCTCAGGAGTCTTGGAATCCGTGAAGATAATACTCCGTCGTCCCATTCAGAGGCATTCACGGAATCGACAATATGTCTTTCTCTATAGCCCATTTCCCGTAACAACTCTTCACGTGATAATTCATTTTCTGAATCGCCGCTTTGCAGCTCCCTTTGCGCTGCAGCATCTTCAATGATATCCACTAGGTTGTTCAGCCCCTCATGTTCAAGAAAGCGATCAGCTTCGTCTGAATCTGATGGCGACTCCTGATCATCTCTGCCTATGCGCGTCCGCACGATTTGCAGTCCTGGTTCGTCTAGATCAAGAGATATAATCTGGCGGCGGGAAAATGCCTGGCGGATATCTGCTACCCCGGCTCGTCCATAATCTTCCACCCAGACAAGGAGATCCCAGGGCCGAGGAGAGAATGACATGGACCGAACTGCACCGCCTTCAAAATAGGATCGGGATGACTGAAACACGCAGACAATATCCTCTCTCCCACCCGCATCTTCGGGATCCGTGTTCAGGATGCTTTTGATGTCGAAGACCGTGATGATCCCGGCTTGGGAACCAACAGCACAAAGATGGCTAGCTGGGGAAAATGCAATTGTGAAACAACAACAGTCATCATACTGAGGATCTGCGTCTAGTTCCACAGAGCGGATTAACGGCCAGTTCCATCCCATGAGCATTTTATCACTATGTCGAACAGGGACTCGGTTTTCAGGTGATGGTTCAATTCGGTAGAAGTAGATACGATTGGCATCACCAACCGCAGCGAGAAGGTTCGAATCCGGTGAGATTATAGCGTAGTTCATGCATATCGGATGGCGGATGCTTTGAATCATTTCCGAACGTGTAAGAGAATAAATGCTCACTGTTGTGTCATTGTTACTAGAAAAATGCATCCGATGTTAGTGACAGACACAAGAGTTCGGGGATGACAGTTTGTACCTAAGAACTGCGACATCTTCGTCCGCATAAGTATGATTGATAGCTGGTAGGCGATGGATTGTCACAGAATTGACAATGCTCCCACCAAATTCATGTATTTTTATATCTGAAACGGTCAGCGCACCGCCTCAACAAAAATAGCAGAGTAGGTAGAACCTCACTGGAGCTTGACGGTGGAAATCGCGGCCGAGCAGGATCTAGATCAACTGGTAAGGGACTATCTACATCTGCTCGCAGAGGAAGCATAGCACGTGGAGCCCCAGAAGTCGGATCGCCAATCCTAATGAAGGCACAATCCCCATGCTCCGAGCCTCCAATTGCAATCCAACCCAGACCCGCGGTCAGACATTTTGGCGCAAACGGCACGACAGCAATCTTCTCACGTTTCCTCGAAGAAATGTGAAGGGCAAATATCTGCCTTTCTACGGCGACATATATTCGATCCGGATCAGCTGTGCTAATATAGTGGCGTAGTTGGTGGTGTCTACATAAAAGAGTAGTTAGCATCGTTCCCTTCCAGGTGTAAATATAGCCACGAGCAAGCAAGTAAACCGGCACTAACGTATTGGGGATCTTGATAGGGAAGAATTTCCGGTGGTTTGGAAGGACAAGGCATTCAGTGGGTCGGTAACTTTATGTGAACATTTGGAGGTCAGTAGAGAGCTCTTTAAGCCTAGTGACGAGGAAGAGATCAAGGCGGCTAACTATGGTACTCACAGCAATGCGGAGTCGAGCGTCATGGTGACAATGAGAGCAAGATCGCTAGGGTCATTGTATTAATGAAACTTGAAAGGCTAGGACGCGGCAATATTAAGTAGAAGATGGGGGGCAACAGGTAGTTGTACTGGATAGTGAGTCGAGGCGCGGTGGAGATTGCCTTTTTCGATGACGGCAGACCCAACCGCGGCGGAGTAGCGAAAGGTTATGTACGCGCAAATAGTATGGGGAAGTATTGTACATTCAGCTACCCAATTATATCACTCCAGCTCCATGCCCAGTGTAGGATAAGTAGAAGCTATTATATAGTTTAACTGCTCATTAATAAGGATATCATTTGCATACTTAGAACGTGCACAATACATCATGTATGTACAGTACATGCATAACCCACTTCATCTCGTTTAATGTAAGTTACTCCGTAGTTATTCTGCACAATGTGTCGCTGACATAATATATTAGTCATCTATCACAACCTCCCGTCTTCTACCGCTTTCGACAGGTCGCCCAAAACAGACTAGCGTCACCTCCGTCCTTTTTTTCTCCGTTCAAATTTTTCTTCTTCACATTTCCTCCCAATTCAACATCTCCTCAACATCTCATTATCTCCCCCATTCCCATCTTCTCCCACCCGCCCTTCTGTTTAACTCCTTTCCCTTCTCATCTGTAATACTATTGTCTCTATATTCTCACTTTGTATTTTATTTTCGATCCCTTAATACTTTGATTATCCTCTCATAATGCTTGCGTCCCGGTTCTCCCGTGCGGTACGTGTTCTATCACCGTCTGGATTTAAACTCACCTGGACTTCATATAACAATGTCAAACTGACTTGAATTCGTTCAATTAGCTTCCTCGCGCTGCCCCCTCTTTTGCCCGTTCATCCACCTATAAACTTCCCTCTACATCCTTCCGGAGATGGAACTCGACAGAAGGGGGAGAGGAGAAGGTGAAGGGCCAGGTCATTGGTATTGACTTGGGTACGTATTATCTCTGGACAAACTCTGACCTCCATTATTCTAGCGATGTTATATATTGTCAATGCTCACGGGTGTGCGTTCTGAGCTAACCGACGTGATTGACTAGGTACCACCAACTCTGCTGTTGCTGTCATGGAGGGAAAGACCCCAAGAATCATTGAAAACGCTGAAGGTTAGTTGAGAGTCTTATTCTATCCTTATTTCCGGCGATCACTCGGCTGGAAAAATAAGTAAAATAAATAAATCACCAAAAATCACCAAAAATCACCAAAAGATTGAAACTGACATGTTTCTTTCAGGTGCACGGACAACTCCATCTGTTGTTGCTTTCACCAAAGATGGCGAGCGACTCGTTGGTATTGCTGCCAAGCGTCAAGCTGTCGTTAACCCTGAGAACACCCTCTTCGCCACTAAGCGTTTGATTGGACGCAAATTCACTGATCCCGAGTGCCAGCGAGACTTGAAGGAGGTTCCTTACAAGATCGTTCAACACACCAACGGCGACGCTTGGGTTGAGGCTCAGGGCCAGAAATACTCGCCTTCCCAAATCGGAGGTTTCGTCCTCCAAAAGATGAAGGAGACTGCTGAAGCTTATCTCGGCAGACCTGTGAAGAACGGTGTCGTCACTGTTCCTGCCTACTTCAATGATTCACAGCGTCAAGCTACCAAGGATGCTGGTCAAATCGCCGGTCTCAACGTGCTTCGCGTTGTCAACGAGCCTACCGCCGCTGCTCTTGCGTACGGTCTTGAGCGTGAGCAGGATCGTGTGGTCGCTGTCTACGATCTTGGCGGAGGTACCTTCGATATCTCTATTCTTGAAATCCAAAAGGGTGTGTTCGAAGTGAAGTCCACCAACGGCGATACCCATCTCGGTGGTGAGGACTTCGATATCACCCTTGTTCGCAACGTTGTTCAACAGTTCAAGAAAGAGTCCGGTCTTGATCTCTCCGGTGACCGCATGGCTATCCAGCGTATCCGTGAGGCTTCTGAGAAGGCTAAGATCGAACTGTCGTCTGCTCTCCAAACCGAAATCAACCTTCCCTTCATCACTGCTGATGCTTCCGGTGCCAAACACATCAACTCGAAGATGACTCGTGCCCAGCTCGAGGCTCTCGTGGAACCTCTGATTGCCCGAACCGTCGAGCCCGTGCGAAAGGCATTGAAGGATGCCAACCTCCAAGCTAAGGACATCCAGGAGGTCATCCTCGTTGGTGGTATGACTCGTATGCCCAAGGTTACCGAATCCGTGAAGAGTATCTTCGGCCGTGAGCCCGCCAAATCTGTCAACCCAGATGAGGCGGTTGCCATTGGTGCCGCTGTTCAGGGTGCTGTTCTCGCTGGTGAGGTCACGGATGTTCTCCTCCTTGATGTTACCCCTCTCTCTCTTGGTATTGAGACCCTTGGAGGTGTCTTCACCCGCCTGATCAACCGCAACACGACCATCCCTACCAAGAAGTCTCAGACCTTCTCCACTGCTGCCGATTTCCAGACTGCCGTCGAGATCAAGGTCTACCAAGGTGAGCGTGAGCTCGTTCGCGACAACAAGCTCCTTGGAAACTTCCAACTTGTTGGAATCCCCCCTGCACACCGTGGCGTCCCTCAAATCGAAGTCACCTTTGACATTGACGCCGACTCCATCGTCCACGTCCACGCCAAGGATAAGGCCACCAACAAAGATCAGTCCATCACCATCGCTTCCGGCTCCGGTCTCTCTGACTCTGAGATCCAGAACATGGTTGACGATGCTGAGAAATATGGTGCCCAGGATAAAGAGCGCAAGGCCGCCATTGAGGCTGCCAACCGTGCCGACAGCGTCTTGAACGATACTGAGAAGGCCCTTAAGGACTTCGAGGACAAACTCGACAAGACTGAAGCTGACCAGATCAGAGAGAAGATTGCCGCTCTGCGTGAGGTCGTTGCTAACAGCCAATCAGGCGAGGCCTCCATCACCGCTGAGGAAATGAAGGCTAAGGTTGACGAGCTCCAGAACGCCAGTCTCACCCTCTTCGACAAGATGCACAAGGCCCGTTCCGAGGAAGGCCAGCAGCAACAACAACAACAATCGACTGAGAACCAACAGGGTGGCGAGGGCGAGAAGAAGCCATAAAAATCTGCATGTCATCTTGAAATCTAAGGGAGAAAAACGAAAGGCAATTAACCGATATTTCTTTCTCCTTTTCTTCACATGAATTTATTTCCTTTGTCATTTAGAGGTTCTTTTTCCTTCTTGTGAATTTTCCCTCTCCTATCTTTGTCATCATTCTCCCATTTCATTTCGTTTCCATGTACACATACCAGCCTTGTTGCGTTCTTTCCATTTAACGCGCCCCATACTTGGTGTTGGAGTTTGTTTATCTTACGTGTGTTTTACTTTACTTCCTCTGCATAATTAACCATCGTCATCTTATCCTCTTCTCGACAAAATGTTTTATCTATATGATTTTTTTGTTCACGGTCACCACGGAATTTGGGAGGGGGAAGAAGGCGAGAAACCCTGGCTTTTCTGCGATTTTTTCTTAGTTTGTTTTTCCTACTTTTCCTTTCATTTTTTGTCAAATGGGTGAGGAGCGTGGCGGGTAAAACAAAAGGCAAAAAAAGAAGTATCTGGTGTTATTTCTCTGGATGTCGGACGAAAAGTGAGCAGGGAAACGGGGGAGGTGAAAGGTGGTCGGACTTAACCATAATCCAACCGAGTCAGGAGCCGATCCATCCATGTCTGCGCTGGCGCATCTCATTGTATAGCGGACAACGGCGTCTGGATGAGCATGGTTTGGGTGGGATTGGTTTGAGTTAGGATGGATGGGATGGTAGAAGTGCAGCTTTACATATCAACCACCGTCTTGCCCTCAACTCTCGACTCTCCTTGAAACCCACCCCGCCTTTTCCGCTATCGAATGATTAGAATATAGCAATTCTCCTCTCTTATAATTTATCAGTTGGCTTTCATATAGCATTTCTATTTCCGTGAACTATTCCGTCCTTCTGGTGCTTCTCTCCCTTATGCTTTTCTCTCCTCTTCCCACTCTCACTTGCCGTGTTCGGTATTTCCCCTGTAGTCCTGATTCACATGCGGGATAGCCGTCAGTCCAACTCGCTACCGTTATACCTTGTATCCCCCATTCCCTAACTTCCCTCCACTCCGCCTTGTATATATATGTTTGGAAACTTGTAATATGCAAATTCACAGTTGATATGTTATCACTACCGAATTTGCTTCTAGTACTACGTACTGAAAGTGAACAAACAAATCATAGCCCACTCAGCTGAGAATACATCTGCACTTTCACAGTCAGTTATAGTTAACCCAGTTCCCACAGGCAAAGTCTTCCCAATTCACTCTCCCCATCTGTGAATGCATATATTACAACGGCCCCAACTCACTTAATTCATCTAAAGAGAAACATCGAGTTGGCACGCAGCTTTTCATATCATCAACACTTCCCCTTCGCAACGTGCGCCCGCCCCATTCACCTCCTTCCACTCACTAACTAAATTTGCACGAATTCGTCTCTAGGAATCGAACCAATTAGGAGATAGGAGCAATGGATAAAAGATAAAAAGGCGAGAACATACGCCTTTTATCTCACTTCTCAGTTTGCTAGTTTGCAATTTCAGCCACCCTTCAAACTACTACCCCTTCATATACTTCGCTTCATACAGAGCATATCAATTCCCATCCCTCGAAACAGCGGCAGACTCAACATCCAGATACCGAAAGGAGCAAAAGGAAGACGAGAGGCTAGCCCGTTCTAAAACAAGCAAAATCAGCAACAAAAAAAAAAAAAAAAAAAAAAAAAAAAAAAAAAAAAAATCAACCCAAAATCTGCCTCTGCACCTTCTCTCGCACACGAGCGGAAGAACCCAAAAAAATGTCGCCCGTCGCTCTGAGCAGCATAACTAGGCGCATCCAAAAACACCACCAGCGTCGAATCGAACTATACGTGCAACGCAACAAAGTCCTACGCGAACGCAAGACTGCTGACATGGTTCTAGCCCAAAGGCGCAAACGAGAATACGAGGCGTTTATGGGGGAGATTGCGAGGGCCAATTATAGGCAGCGGGTATGTTGATATGTACTTCCAACTTTCTATGTTCATTGTCCATTTTATCACTTCAATCTTTTCTTCTTTTTTTTCTTTCCTAGGTTCATTGGAAGGGGGAAAAAGCTGATGTAAACTTTCTTTTTTCCTATCATTCTTTAGAAGTTACGGGAGGTGCAGGTCCAGTTTGAGAGAGGGTTTACAGATCGAGAACGGTTCTTACTGGCGAATCAGGCTGTTGCGGTTGCACGGGCTCCTAGGACGGAGCAGAAGGAGAGGAGGAGAGAATTAAGGAGGCGGATTAGGAGGTTTGAAAAGGTGGCGAGGCAGACGGGGCTAGCAATGATGGACACTTGTCAGTATGTTGTCCAGCCGAGGGATGTGGCTGTGAGGTTCGTTGTTCCCCTCCCATATTGATAACAAGCCCCCGCCTTGATCGTGGCACAGCGGGAACAGGCTCTTCCTAAAGAAACCATTTTATCTAATTTTCCCACGTATGCTAATGCTCTAACTGCCCGTGCCGTATTTGCATAGCCGTGTACAAAAGCGCCATGGAAACCTGTGTTGCTGCCATCATCGAGATCACGAAATGTCCTCCCTGACAGTAGCAGGGTCAGACAAGTGCCAACTTCCTTCAGGACTAGTATCCAATATTAAACTAGAGTTGCTGAGGAAGGAAAAAGGTGGCGGAGAGTGAAGAGGAGGGCGATTAAAATATGTTACCGTGCTAGTGAGCGGTAGGAACCAAGGAGTAATACACCACTCCCAATTCCCAGCTAATCGCAATTGTACTCTTATTACCATAGGCACGCAGAGTAGTTTAAATAATATCTCTTCACAGAAGACACATGGATAGCGACCTTGCACACAGAAGGAAGTATTTTAGGGGGATCATTGCTTTATTTGGATGTTTTCCGCATGTTTAGCGCGCACCTTCGGGTTGACAGCGGGGCGGACGAATTTGTGCGGGGAAGTGGAGTCAGCCGCTGACATCATTCTGCGGACAGCCTCAGAGGGCAACAACAACAAACACATATTCGTTTAGGAAGAGATAACTATAAGTAAAACTTTCAGAGCCCTTCAATTCCCTTCAGTATTTTATAGAATATATCATCTGGCCAGGTCGTACTCAGAAAAAAACAAAAGTAACTTCAAAACCATGTCTTCACCTTCAACCCCATCGTCGAACCCGTTTATCGACCTCCCCGAAATCATCCTCCTCTGCAGAGAACAAGTGAACATAACCGCTTTCCAAGACGCCCTCCGCAAATATTGGCCCGCTCTCGTCCTCTCCTCCTCTTCCACCACCACCACCACACCAGAACCAACCCAACAACCCCATCAAAAAATAAAAATAACCCCCCTCCAGAGCCGCCTCGAGTTCGTCCCACCCACACAGCCGTTCGACCTCGTCGTCTCCCCCGCAAACTCCTACGGCCGCCTCGACGGTGCCTTCGACGACGCCATTTCCCGCGTCTTCTGTCTGCCCCACCACAACTACGACACTCTAACCAATGCCGCGCAGAAAACGCTCTACGAGCACTGGCGCGGCTATGCGCCTCCGGGCACCTGCACGCTTGTGCCGTTTCCGGAGGAGATTGTGAAAACGGGCCGGGCGCTGGGGGGCTGTCGGTGGGTGGCGCTTTGTCCGACGATGCGCATGCCGGAGAATGTGGTGTGGGATCGTGAGGTTGTGTATAAGTGTGTGTGGGCGTTGATGGTGGAGGTGGAGAGGTGGAATAGGCGGGTTAGGGAGGGCGAGGAGAAGCGGGGTCAACAGGGGGTTGTGGGAGTTGAGGGGGAGGAAGGAAGTAGGGAAGGGGAGGGGAAGGAGGAGGAGAATAAAAAGAAGAGGATTGATAGGATCTTAATGCCTCCGTTGGCGGTTGGGGTGGGGAATGTTAGCAAGGAGCGGTGGGCGGCTCAGACCGTGTTGGCTATGAAGCATTTTGTGGATGCGTTGGAGAGACCGGAGAAGTGGGCGAACTTGGACTGGTTGGAGATTGGGAAGGGGTCTTTTGAGACTGAGATGACGTGGAAGTTTGAGGGGATCATGGGGAAGAAGTAGGTAAGGGGGTAATGTAATAATGTCCGTACCTGTGGCTGCCAGAGGGGGGAAGATTCCGAATGCTCGTGATTTTTGGGAGTTTCAAGGGGGGGGAATATTCTACTTCGTGTAACCATTGCGGAGAATCCCGGCCGGAACTCTTGCGCCTCAGGGACCCGGTGGATGGGGTGCAGTTACATTTTGAATCAAGGGGGTGTTTCTGTTTCGCACACCATGGGCATGTTTCATCATCGGTCGATGAATAATTTTACCAAGTCGTAGAAACAAATAAATTCCCGAAGTGAAAAGGAGCTGGTGTACAGAATAAAGGAGCATCGAACAAATTATGACAAACACAGCAACAGTCAACAGCTAATTTCCGAATGCCCTGGATATATCAGAGCAGAAAGTTTACACAATCAAATCGACAAGTTACATTGCCCATTCATCCTCATAATACACTTCATTTCTGTTTCCCCACGATGTTCCATACAAACGCTGAGACACGTTGGTGTACACGGATAATGCACGCCAACCACGCCCTTCCTACTCCCTCAGCACAAGCACATGAACAACATACCCCGACCCACCCTTCAATCCCAAGCCCTCCCCCATCCCTTTCCCAAGAACCTCATCGCTAACCCTCCACACCCGAAACTCCGCCAGCGCCGCGCGCAGCCACGACTCAAACACATCCGGCACCCGCAGTTGCTGTGCAATAACGCATACAGTTGGCCGCCTTTTCGACGCGAGCGGTGTTGGTGGTGGTGCGCCCTCAGGCAGGGACGGAGGCGGTAGTGTATAGCCAGGCCGCAGCCGACAGATATCTGCGCAGGTTTGCACGAAAGGATCGATTAGGGCGTCGTTGTAGATGCAGTCGCAGGCGAGGAGGAGGTCGAAACCCGGGTCTTTTTCTACTTCATCGCTTTCTTCTTCTTTCGTTTTTTCTGATGATTGAGTAGAGGAGGGCTTGATGACTTGTTTGAGTGTGCATGGCGAGTCAAGCTCCCAGTCCAGCGCAGTGAAGGTTACGTTTCCTGTGCTGGTGGTGTCCGGGCGGTGTCGGGAAGGGGATGGGGAGTGTTGATTTGAAGAACGGGTAGATGGCGGTTTTCGAGGGCCGCGCCGGGATTGGCGGTGCTGATCATTACGGCGGGGGGCGGTGGCGTTGGCATTGGCTATAGTGTTTGCTTCGAGGTTTTCCTTTAGTAGTTTGTGGACGTATTCTTGGTCTGTAGCTATGTAATGGCTAATAGATGGGGCGAGTGTGAGGGCGATGACCCCAGATATCCCACAACCAAGCTCGACAACGGTAGAGTCCTGGTTTAGGATTGATGATGTCCAGAGGGTATTTTGTTTGGAAGATAGCCATTCTGCGACGAAGGGGGTGATTTTCCATAGAACTGAAGGCGGATTGATATTTTATACTGGGTTAGAAAACGGGGCATTTCGTTGGCAAACCAGTAGGACATCAAAAGGTAGATCGGCTTGGAATAAACGGACTATTAAAAAAAACATACCCGCGCCCGTAGTTCCCCCTGAACGGGTTGAGGAGAGGATAGTTGGCGATTGGCGGATTTGAAAATCACGGCCGTGGATAGTGAGGCTGATGGTACTCGCACGAGAATCAATAAAGCCTAAGTTCTGTGAAGGGATTTCCTGGGAGAATAGGGAAAACGCTTCTATAATTTTCCCCAAATAAAGAGGGAAGATACTTTGTTTAGTATGCGCCTAGGTAGCAGGGAGGTATAAGGTACAACATCCCTTGCGTATGTACAGTTATGTACCTTGGCAGCCCTTTGGTTGCTTGCTTACCTTCCTCAACATCCTCGACTTCAGGGCCAATCGCCCGTAAAAATTCGTGGAAGTGCATGATTGATTGGTTGAATGGTGGCCAATGTCACTCCATGTATATCAAGCGGATATCCATTTTCCTTTTCCTTGCGGTTTGCATCTGGAAGCATCACAAAGTTAGCAATGGGCGCTCGCCTTTTTTACTCTTGATTTCCTGGATTCTTTGATTTTTGACAATTCACACAGTGCCGAGGTATCAACTACATCGCATGAATAAAAAGGAGAACGGGAACCACAAATAAAGCATGTGTACAGGCTCATCGTCCACAAAGGCCCAGAAACCAATCTTTAGCCAGGTATTGCCATTGCCTCTGAGTCTTTGATTTTGCCCACCAAGCGCCGATGGGGTAAAACATAAAGCTGGTAGGAACATATGGCGAAACGTAATCATAACAAACAGGTATTACTCTCTAGAGCATAGGGACCAAGTTTCGAGTTGAAAAAGCATACATACGTACAGTACATACATCCATCGAGAGGGAGGTAACCTCCGGATTTCAATTGGCCAGTTAGTGTGGTATCGGTCCAGTGGTGCAGTAGTTAGTATTTATAGGATAGAATAAATAACAGAATAGAGAAAAGAAGCTTGATATAAGCTCATCATGTTAGACATGGTGGACCGACTGACCCCTTTGATGCCGAATTTGTCAGTCCTGGGTTGAAGCCATTGATATTGGCCATCGCTGATCTTAAGCGAGATAATGAGAAAAATACGTGATATTCATGGATACGGTAGTTACAGCGTACGGCATTGGAAGGCGCATTACCCAGCCGGATTATTATGTGTAATAATACGTCTGGCGAAATCCTGTTTTGTTGGGGTTTAGCGTTTGAACCTTTAAGCGGCGACGGGTTTTCTGCTGCTCCAATCAAAACCGTCTTTCCACGGCTGGTCGCTGCCCCTAAACTCTGGGGTTGAGTTAGGGCTGCCCTGCCTGAAAGCTGTAAATTATACGGACAGAAAGTTATCACAGCTGCCCAGGATGTTCTGGCAATATTATTACGCAGTAAATAACTACCTCCTTCCCTGTCCCTCCGGCACCCCCAAAAATAAATTAAAAACCAATTTGTTTGTTTCATCTCTGAGAAACATCATCATTGTGCATGTGTGCCCTATGCAGGAACTTTTTTCACCCCCCTGATTATCACTCATTCCATGTGCATCTGATGTCACTCTGGTAGTACTGCTACACACTGTTTACCTGAGCCTCAACTTTTAATGTTACGCGCCTGATGTATGGAACATTCCGTATGGTACCAACTGTAACAGGATAACTCCCGATGCGGCTTAGTCGGCCATACCTAGGTAACAACCTTGGGGTCTCCTCAACACCGGCCGTTGTGGTCAAACGGGTCGAAAAGCCAGAAACAATCGGCCCACTACGAAAAACTACATAAAAAGCCAAATAAAGACAACAAGGGCGATGACTCCCTCGCCCTTTTTCTCATCGGTGCGTCATCCCTTTTCGGCCAGACAAAGGAGACAAGGCCAGGCTGCACAGGAACTTGGCTTTCATGTGTGCACTCAAGTAGCTAGTCTTCCTCTAAGCCACAGGCTCACGCTCGGTCTGGATTCATACACAGAGGACAAAGCACGGCAAAGCTGTCACCTGTCGACTGTCAAAAGCGGCCCCTAAGTCTTGGGCCTTACGCGACTCAGCGCCAAGTAGCTTTGCGAGTCTTGACTTACAACCTCGAAGGGGTGGGGGCGAGTGCCGCTTCTAAAAAACAGCACTGGCTCACAACAAGCTCACAGGAGTCGACTCAACACTCCCAGAGTGTCTGAGTTGCGCGCCCGCCACCAGGCTAGTGGAGGTTAACACCTAGGCGTTCCCTTCTTCCCAGGCTCCCCTCTCCCCTCTCCCTGCTACCACTGCAGTGTGCCCAAGGACGCTTGAAGTCCATCGCTATCATGTGCGCTAGCTAGCACCTAAAGACCCTTGCAGGTTGTTCATTTTAACCGGGGTACTTCAAAAATAGCCCACGGTTCGCGAAATCCCATATGATTCTGGGACTTTGTGTTGACTAACCATGCCTAGGCAAAAGAGTTTCCTGGGGTTGAAGTTGAGCTGCCAAGAAAAGCAGAAGACGGATCAAATCCTAGAAGCTTCAAAGAGGCGGGACAGCGACAGGCTAGTCATGACTAGTTTCAAGAGGATCAAGGCCTCTAGTGGTGCTTTGTACCCGGGCTTTTGAAGAGGTTGTTCTCCATACTGATTGCAACATGGCTCAGTATTACTATTGCTAACAGCCTGTGTTTGCTTTCTATTCAGTTTACCTAAACCAGGCATAATCCTAGCAGCTGCCCTTTTGATATGAATTTTGAATCAAGCGGCCACGTATCCAGACGTATCTATATATATATATATATATATCACCCGGGCCAGTCAGCTTCTTCGGGTAATAGCCTCTCACACAATATAGTCCGTTTCGTATCCATCAGAAACTTGATATTGAGCAAACGAGTCACGGGACCAGCATCTTTTGTACTCTCCCACCCAAACCACGGAGAGGGGTACATCTATATTTCAGTACGTGTATAATACAGGACTTGGCAGGCTAGTAACCCCAATACCGCCGGGGCTGCGGCGTTAGTGAAATCTCCTTGCCTCCTTGCTCGTCGGCCAAAGCAAGCTTCGCTGCGCTGGCTGATCTGGGCGACCTTGGCCTCCACCACCTCCACCTTTTTCTTCTCCTCTCCTCTCCTCTCTCTCCTCTCCTTTGCCTCTACTGTCCTCATCTCCTCATCTCATTCCTCATCTCATTTTCGCTCTTCTACCTCCTACCCCAAGCCGAAACTACGCAATACCCTGGGCGCAGTGTCTCCACGTCAGAGCTCCTAGTCTTCCTGGCTAGCTACGAACCCTCACATTTCGAGTCTAATCAGTTAGCCGAACCTCATTCTTCCTAGCACGTCCACAGTCAACCCAGTCACCATGGCGAAAAAAGATAGCCCGCTGTTTCCCCGTATGTCCAAGAAGCCTCCCTTCACCGTAGAAGCCCCCGGTGTCCAAAAGGTTGAAGGGGAGACCATCCCCCGCAGGCACCCTGCCGCGAAGGACGGCCTCGTCAGCAAACCTCATCCGGAAATCTCAACCCTCTTTGAGAACCTCAAATGGAGCGCGAAGACGTACGGAAATTCCAAAGCGGTGGGATCGCGTCGGATAGTTGGAACCCATGTCGAGAATAAGAAGATCAAGAAGATGGTGGGTGGGGTAGAGCAGGAGGTCGACAAAGAGTGGACCTTCTTCGAGCTCAGTGGTTATACCTATCTTACCTTTATTGAGTTCGAGAAGCTTGTCCTGGAGCTGGGCGCTGGTCTCAGGAAACTTGGACTCGAGAAGAATAGCAGGCTCCACATGTTTGCTGCCACGAGGTGCGTCTCTGGGCTATCCACGCATTTGCTCGCTTGGACTAAATATGCTAACTATGGCTCATTGTGTTAATGTAGCGCACATTGGTTGGCGATGGCACTTGGTATTTAGCCCAGAATCCACTTCATTACGCATTTTATGAAGCCCTCCTAACATCTTCTAGGTGCCGGATCTCAATCGATGACTATTGTGACTGCCTACGACTCCCTGGGAGAGGACGGCTTGAAGCATTCCCTGTTACAGACTCATAGCAGCGCCATCTTCCTCGACCCTGTCCTCCTCTCAACCCTTGAGCGTATATTGAAGGATGCTACGGATATTAAATATGTCATCTATGACACGGCAACTGAGGCCAAGCAGGAACATATTGATAGCCTAAAATCTGGCTTCCCTCACATCAACATTATGAGCTTTGAAGAGCTCCGGAACCTTGGCGAAGAAAATCCCGTAGATCCGGTACCACCAACCCCGGAAGATCTGTGTAAGTACCCAACATGGTATTCATTGCTAGCTCGTTTGCTAATTTGAATGTGTAACTTCTTCAAGGCGCCATCATGTATACGTCAGGATCAACCGGCCCCCCGAAAGGTGTTGCTCTGAAGCATAGCATGGTTGTTGCCGGGAGTATGTCAATGATTCGTCCTTTGAACCCCTTTCCTATTAAACTTGACCTGCGAGGCTAACTCAAGTTTGCAGTGGCCGGAGCTAATGCCAATGTCGGGCACGTTCTGGGCCCGTCTGACGTGCTTCTGACCTATCTCCCGCAAGCGCATATCCTCGAGTTTATATTTGAGAATCTTTGTCTCTTTTGGGGCGGAACAATGGGCTACGGCAGCCCGAAAACACTTTCTGACACATCCGTGCGAAACTGCAAAGGCGATATTCGTGAATTGAAACCTACCGTCCTAGTGGGTGTGCCAGCCGTGTGGGAAACTGTAAAGAAGGGAATTATTGGCAATGTAAACAAAGGTGGCGCTCTCATTAAGGGACTCTTCTGGGGAGGCCTTAGCGCCAAACACTTTTTGATCTCCGCTGGCCTTCCCGGATCGGGCATCTTGGACGCAATCATTTTCAAGAAGGTCAAGGAAGCGACTGGAGGTCGTCTCAGAATTATGTTGTCCGGCGGTGGACCGATTTCCAAGGACACGCAGCTGTTCCTTTCCATGGCCCTATGCCCAATGGTTGGTGGTTACGGCTTAACTGAGACCAGTGCTATGGGTGGCCTATGCGATCCCTTGGCATGGACCCATAATGCGATTGGCGATATCGCAGCATCGGTCGAAATCAAACTCGTTGATTTCGCCGAGGCAGGCTATTTCACGAAGAACAATCCGCCCCAAGGTGAAATCTGGATTCGCGGCCCCAGTGTCACAGAAGGCTATTACGATAACGAAGCGGAAACCAAAGCGGCTATAACTGATGATGGTTGGTTTATGACTGGCGATATTGGCGAGTTCGACAAGAATGGCCATCTTAAGATTATCGACCGCAAGAAGAACTTGGTTAAGACTCTTAATGGCGAGTACATTGCGCTGGAAAAGCTTGAGTCTATATATCGCTCCGCCAATGTTGTCGCCAACATCATGGTCTACGCTGCGATAGATCAAACTAAGCCAATTGCAGTTATTGTCCCCGCCGAACCTGCTCTCCTCGCGCTCGCGAAGGCGAATGGAATCGAAGGAGAAAGTATCGAAGCGCTGGTTCACAACAAGAAGTTGAACTCGATTGTCCTCAAAGAGCTACAAAATGCTGGTTACGCCAGTCACCTTAAGCCTTTTGAAATTATCGAGGGAGTTGTGCTCTCCGATGAAGAGTGGACTCCGCAAAATGTAGTTCCGCTTTCCATCAAATCTTCCCCACTCCCCCACATCACCCACTCCCTTTCCTATCATTTTTCTCAGCCATTGCTGTTTCATGGTTATCATTGCTAACCTTCTATTGATCAATCTAGGGCTACATCACCGCCGCTCAGAAACTCCAACGAAAGAAAATCTCCAACCATTTCCAAAAGGAAATTGACCGTGCCTACGGAAAGAAATGATCCTAAGGACTTCTAGCTACCCCGCAAGTTCCTTTGGTTACCCCTGCCCTTTCTCAATCCATGTCCCAGATCCATGCTGCATGGTAGCCACTCAGGAACTACGCGCTATCTAATTTTAGGCCACCTTGGTAGCTTATCGACCCGGAGACAACGGGACTGCCGTTCTTATGACCAATTATACCATGTTTTCCTAAGTATATACCAATCTATGTTTTTCGCACAGCTTGCGCTAGCCGCCTTTGTGTGTATTCTTGCCTGCCTGGAAAGCGCCTCACAACGAATGATTTCTATGAACATGGAGATCGAAGACATTGGGCCAGACCTATCCAGTACGGCCCAATTCACTCGTTGCCACCAGTATGCGGATTTCACACCCTCGCTCCGTGCTTGCTGCGCGTGGTATTTGTGTGTTCTCCCTTCCTCTCCTTCTCTGTCCTTTGATTTTGGACTTTGTGATATACGTTTTGTTTTCGCTGCTCAGTATTGTCCTCTATATATGCCCCAACCTAATCTCTGTTCCAGTCCCTGTATCGAACCTTTTTCCGTATATTTTTTTTCTTTTATATATCGATGTATCTAACTCATGCGCACGCGAAATTACCCCCTACCATGTCCCTATGCATGTTGATGCCTTCCCATATTTCGATATGTTTGTAATTTCTTTTTCCTTTACGTTGTGAGCCTCTTTTCGGGGTACGATTTGTCGTTTGTCTTTTGTTATTTCTTGCCTGTTTGCCTGCTTGCCTTGGTGATGTGAGGACATTTTAAATATCGATCAGTGACTGTACTTTATTATCCCCGTCTGTTCCTCGTTTTGCTAAGTGCGTTTGATCTACCTGAATTTGTTTTCGTGACCTTTATTGATTTTGTCTATCTATACCTTATTCTCTTTACCTTTGTGGTTTTTTTGAAGTATTAGTGTAGCTGAAATCAATATATATATATATATATATATATGTATACGCAATTTTAGGTGGCTATGTGTGTGAACAGGTAACCTGATAGGACACACGTGAAGAGCGCTCTACCGATGAAATAAGTTATAGAGCATTTTTACCTCAGAAGAAGCAGTCATCAAAACTGAAGATGGCCTGCTGGGTCAATGTCAAGTTGTATCAAAGGAGGAGATTCTATTGGGTTGTTTGTTCAGATTCAATATATGCAAAATCGTTACCATCGACCTATAACCGAGTTACATGGTTATATACATATATACTCAGTACATATTCATTCATTCATTCTTTGCAATTTGGAAATCGAGTTATTCCCCATGCCTGACTGACTATCGTGATATTTGCCAAGAATCAGGGGAGAGGACGCTAAACCTTCCTGAGAAATATGCCAAGACCACATGGACAGACAGACTGATGAGTGCAACGACCAGGGTAACAGACATACATACAACCTTCTACACCAAACCTCGATAGGTCACAACCAGACCTCTCTTTTTACAAATGTCACTGTGGTCGTATGTTCAATTCCCCTTTATGTCTGCTTAGTCATATAAATCCAATTGCTCAATGCGGGAAAAAAAAAAAGAAAACTGGGTAATTGTACAGCAATACAATTGAAACTAGAAATAGATACTAACCAACCCGGACCGGGCCCCAACATTTCTAGATCTTACCGCAACCTTTCCCCGCGCACGCGCTTCCTCTTCGGAGCCGGCCTGATGGCCTATGCTACGGTCGGGATGTGGTGGTCTCCTAAAATTGAGGAGGCGTTGGGCATGGTGCCGAGCAGCGAGGAGCAGGCGGAGCTGGATAGGAAATTGAGCGTTAAGATTTCCAGTGTTGAGCGGTAGAATTATTGGATGGAAATGTGGGGGTTGGGGTGATGTGGAATGAAAGAAAGGCCATAGGGGAGCAAAGGAAGAAAGGGAAAGAAATGAAATGAAAACGTGGCTCTGGGCAGCGCCAACAACAAACAAACGGAATTTGGACTCTGAATTGAAGATGGGATGGGAAGAGATATGAAGTAGAGATGATTTGCGAGTTTATTGTTGCTGTGGCATGGTAAGGGGCTATGGGAGAGACGGGGGAGTACGTTTTGGCGAGAGGAGAGGGGGCTACAGTACGGTGTATGCGGGTGTGTAGCTTGTGCATGTGGATATCACGCCGCTCAGTTGGCTGATGAGGAGCAGAAAAGGGTTCGGGCTGGACATTGAAGTGGCATATACATAGGTGCGGTTGCTGAGAAGGAAGAGGAGGTTGGATGGTGCCTGGGGGAAATGTGCATCTGTATTGGGATAGAGATGTGGTACCAGGTGATCGACGGCCGAGAGTTTTCTTTTTAGCGCCCCCCCTCCCAATTTTCAATTTTTCATAATTCCCTTGTCCTTGCCCTCTTGAGAATTTAATAGAAGGAAGCAAAGCTCGGACAGGGCATGCAGGCCTCAATGACTGCCGTCGTGGAACCGAACCGAGAACTAGAGGATGATTTGGGACCTGATTACACAAAAAAAAAAGAGTGGAGTTGAATATCAGACTGCCCTAGTACAGCCTACCCCGTCATCGTGGGAATGCGCTACACCGACATGGACCTCGGATTGGATTGGATGGCTAAGGTGAAGTCTGACATTCGAGGAGGCAGAGAGGAATTGGCGATCAGTTCGTTTGAGACTTGCAGCTGAAGTTCTAGTTGGAGTAAAATTGATTTGCCTCTTTCCGTTGTCAAGGCGCTTGCTCCCTTCCTTTCAAGCCTTATTTGACTTCCTATTATTTTTTATTTTTAACTTTCATTTTCTTTTTAAAATCGGTTCTTCTCCGTGCTGTTGATCAGCCACCATCCCTCCATCATCGCCACGCATCTAGAATGCAGGAATATACGCATTTTGATTTTCATTGCTGATGCTGTACCCATAGAGATATGCCTCGTCGATGGCATTGGATGTGTTTCAAAAAGCTGTTGCCGTGATTATTGTGACGGACTAGATCAGTTCGTGTCGATCGACGAGGCATGAGCATGCCCTGTTTTCCGATAGAGCAACGGCATGCAAACGGGTGAGTGTGAGAAAATTGAACAGCTGGTCATGCTCGTTTCCATGAACCCTCACAACCGCCCTGCAAGTTTAGACTACTAGTCTTGTGCACCCTCTCCTTCTGGCCCCCTAATGCTGCATCATTCGCTCACATCGATCTCTTCGAATTAGTAGATTTATCTATGCGAAAAAGAGCAGAGTCCAGTTCACTGAAAAGTAGTTCAAAGCAAATCAGTTCGTACTTGTCCCAGCGCGTGCATGGATATTACGACTCTCCGGGACGGGATATCTGATTTTCACATTAATTCTCTATCTCCGCCCCCAACTTCATCCTGGGAGGCAATCTTCCTCCAACCGGCTTATCCGATACTTGTCACTATGACGGCGTCTCTTACGGGATGTTTGTGTACGCATATGCAATATACTTGAGACAAAAATCAATGAGAGCCGAGATCTATCATCCGCCATTTGTCACATTGGCCCAGGCCCAGCCACCATTTTATGAAGAGTTCCAATATGTTAAAAACTACGTACACTTATGCATCTTTTGATATTCTGATTTACAGCCTGGTCTGCATTGCTAGAGCCGCCGATGTTCGTCAATATCCACTCATCGATCGAACCAACTCACATTGGCTGGCTAGGGACTTGAGTTATAATTACTCTGTGGATCAGCCTTCACGTTTCTGACAGTTCACGATTTGAGCATCGGCACCTGATAAGATGATGTCTCAAGCCACCATTCATTCACGTTTGACTTTTCGATCCCATTACTTCTTCACCTTTCCCCCCTCCCGGCGCCCCCCCCACCCCAACACTTTCCCCGTCTGCAACTATTGATTGGGTCTTGAAATTTCGTTGTAGAATGGTGCTTCGCTCATCCTAAAATCCGAATGAACAGGTTTCACTTCTTTCTCGATCAACATATCTTGGGCACTATTGTGATCACTAAAATAAACGCCTGAGCTTGCAAAAATCATGCAGCGGGAATCAATAGGAGAGAAGCTAACAAGGGATGGCACAAAATACGTGCCTTGACCAGATTCCGGCCGACGACACACCCGCTTATGTCTGTATGTTGTGTCTTTATCTGTGTGCTTTTGGTGGCCATGAGCTAATGGAAGAGTGTAAGGAGTGTAATACCAAGCACGGAGCCCTGTGTACCCATTCTCTGCCATCGTGTTTTACATCGCCCTTACTATTTCGATAGAAGCCGGTTCGGGGTACGTAAAACCAAAAAATGGAAATATAGCTAATCAGTATGGGTACCTACATATGCATATGCTTATTTGCTCTGGTGAGTGATTATTGTTTTGCTAACTGCTAAATACTTTTGTTGGATTTCTTTCCCCCCAGCTAGGAGATCATTCCAGCTTTAATTTTGCAAAGATGCGGAATGAAGCAGCTTTATGTTTATTTCTGCTGCTCTCAAAATTAAAAGAATAATACCATAGATTGGTACATCCTAAGTTAGAATTGAGTACATGTTTTGGCAGCCTCTGGATATATCATATATATATCTCTCTGGAAGCTCTGATAAAGGGATAAATAAAGGGGATAAGCCAGAGCTAGGGCATAGGAAATCACGTGGCTTCGCTATCTGGGATCTATGGGAGAGAAATGTCGTTCTGCTTCGTAGAAGAGATATGCAGCATGATACCGTGCCGTAACTCATTTCACTTAATAAACAAAACCTCCATGTGGCTCGAACTCAAACTAACAGCTACCTATCATCTGCTATCCTTGTCTCGATTCTCAAGGGGAACAAGCTTCCTTAACGGACAAGAACAGACCTTGCGACGATACATAGCCAGTGAGAACTTCGAGCGCACTTCGAAGAATCTCCAGAAAAATAAAACAAAGCCCACAAACATACAAGCACCCGGCAAGACTCCATTTCCCTTTTGCTCTCCCCCCTTCCATCCCGATGCGCAACCTTCACACGTCCCACCTTGAGCACCGTACCATTTTTTTGTGTGACATTCTGGTTTCTTTTCTTTCTCCCAGTCTGCTTCTACCTGCTGGGACCCCCCTTCCCCCGAATTCGAACGCAAGGCTTTCAAAATAATGTGAGATGAGTAAGATGCTAAGAAAGCCCTTTTGCTGCCGCTATCAATGCAATTCGACCCTGTTATCAAAACCAGGAAGCCCAGCCAGGAAGCACTTTTGATTCCATGCATAAATAAAAACATGTATGACAAAAACAAATGAAGGGAATGAAAATAAGAACTAGAGCATAACAGAGCACAGCATGTGAAAAATTGATTACACCACACCATGACCCAACAATTTAGGTAGCTTCGCGTTTGATAGGCAGCAAGTTCTACCTCCGCTCTCCATCCCATCCTATACTTCTGTGAAATTTTGGCCACGAATATCAACGGAACAACCTTTCACTGGGACCGAGTTCAGTAAAAAAAAATCAATGGTGGATAAAAATGATGAATTGAATGACATTAATAAGGAATATAATCATATGGAAATTTTTTTAAGGTCCCAGAATAAAGAGGGAAGAGGAAAATGGAGACTTCAGACATAAGGTTAGTTAAAATGAAGGTAACAGCGAACATTTCAATTGCGCTGCGGTCCCGAATGAAGATTGTATGAAACTCTGGGTAAATGGAAATCGTTATGCGTTGATGATAGGTAGGAAATAGTTGGGAAAGCAGCCGAGGAATGCGCAACCCCTCAGATGATGTAGTACCATCATTAGTCAATCAACTGAAGGAATTCAAGAACAGAGACTTTGGGGATTCTGGGTTGAGTCAAAGCGGCTGTAAGAGGTGTCTCCAGAACGACTGGCATAGGACCCACCAAATCTAGGACCTGAGAGCTGACTCAAATAACTGGTGGTGTTGTGCCGCTTGAGATATTGATTTGAGCCATCGTGCTCATTCTGCAAGGCTGGAATCATTGGATCGAATGCTGCGCTATAAGTGGCGTCATGCTCCTCTTGTGTCTTGACAGCAGCATCGTCGTCATAGCTTGGCATATGTAGGCGTAGGCTTGACGGTTCGATGCATATTTTTCTCGAATCCGGTGAAGCAGTTGTAAATGTTGGGTCACCGTAAGCGCCTGCGGTAGTGGTGTCTTTGATCGTCTCTAGTGGATCCATCGAGCCATTCATCATGGTGTAGTTGTTATAATCAGGTGAAGACGACGAGGAGGATATTAGAGGGCTGGTTGTTAAAGGGGAGTGGTCTGTAGACGATAAGCGGTGGTAGTTATATGAAGTAGGAGCACGATGGCTTCCACTGTACTGTGACATTAGTGAAAGGTGCGTGCGCGGGCCGTGCCCCATTCCTGGTGGTAAGCAGCCCCCTCCGTTGCCATCCCCTGAGCTTCCAGTGCCA